ATAAGAATGAACATGAATAAATGCGATGTACATAATGAATGAAAGCTTACGACAGAATAGAAATGCCGTCGAAAGTCCAATGAAGAAGAAGAGAGTTGAGAACGAAGGAAGGGGCTCACGCGATGATGTGCGGAGGCTTGAAGGCGGAGATGCAGCTTCGTTGTCGTGGCTGAAGAGCCGTGAAGAATCTCGACGCTGACGTCCGTGATGAAGATAGTGAAGAAGCTCTCAGGCGAGAAGAGAAGAGACGAGATGTGGCGCTCGACGACGGAACAGTGGGTCGTTCGATGTCGGAGGCGAAGAGTAGAAACGTAGACATGCGAAGCCGGCACTGGTGCTGAGTAGTAATAGTTGCTCGTTTGATGCGCCGGACTTTGATGAAGAAATGTTTAGATGAGCTGCGGTGAAATGATGAGCTCGTGAGTGGAAAAAGCTACCGGAACGAAGAAACTGGCAGCTCCCAGCGGAGAGTCAGGCGCCATGTCGGTCCTGACTATAGCGTTCCACTGGGAGACTGCAGCCCGATGAACACGGCAGAAAAAGAGTTGACGTGCCGTAAAATAGATGACAGGCACAGAAGAATAGAGCCTGGAGAGGAAATTGCGGAGACGTCTTGACTCGACCAAGGTGAAAGCGGGAGTGGAGAAAAACCTCGTGGAGTTGAAAATACGCGGGGGAACGATGCGCGGAACCACGATGCTCGATTGGAGGAATGAACACACGTGGTCCGAATAATGAATATAAATAAGTACCGTGATGGGAAAATACAGGAGACATGAATGTACGGTGAAAGTAGGGCGAATGTAAGTAGGGCGAATGTAAGAGCCGCTACATTGTGTTTGTTAAAATGTTGGTTCTTGGTTACAAAAAAATATGTGTATGTATTAACGTAAGTTCGTGCCTTTGCATATCACAGTAGAAATCAATGTTTTATATTTGATGCAGAATAATATTAATATTTGGAGATTAGAAACACAAACAGTTTCCATAAACGTTCAAGTGTTTCAAGAAAAAGTTAAGCAAACTTTCTCCTGGATGTAAATTGGAATTTTAAGCGGTTTCATTGGAATTAATCGAGAAATTCCCCTCGCTAGCGTGTAAATAAAAAATACGCCGGCCGGCCATACGTAAATGGCAGTGACGGTAACGACGAATTAGGAGGAAGGGTGCATACGTGAACTACAAGCGTATTGGGGATGATCATACTATCATTTTAGAGTGTGCAATCTGGGTCGGAATCCAGCATAATATATTTATAAAAAAGAGGTTCACATAAAAGCACTCATGATAAAGCCGCGCCCGGCCCCTACAACATCATTTTGGATTTTCAGATGATGGGGCGGGTGGCAGGGGTAGGGGGCAAAGTTCGCCCCGTGGGCCACTCTTCAAGTACCCCCCCCCCCCAGGGCCACTTTTACTTTGTAAAGAAATGCCCCTTCCCCTTTTTAACTCGGATAAGCGCACATTTCATCAACACATGTGCCCCCTTTCCTATCTGATAAGGGCTATTTAGAAAAATGAGGCCCTTCATAAATAAAAAGTGTCCCTTTTCATCTCTGGTAAATGACCATTTTCATATATGAGAAGTTAATTCTTTTCACTTCAGTGCGCTCTTCACCTCCGATAATTGCCCCTATTCAAATCTGAGAGATGCTCGTTTTACTTTGAAAAGTACCCCTTCCCCTCCTGATAAGTACTCTTTTCATCTATGATGAGTGCCCATTTTCACCTTTGCTAACTGCCCTTTAATTTTGAATCGTGCCCCTTTTCCTTTCTATTAAGGGACCTATCCCCTTTTCATAAATGCCCCTTTTCACCTCTGATAAATCAATTTCTGATGGATGCCCCTTTTCCGTCGACAAATGCCCATTTCCCATACTCATAAGTGCTCTATCTCATTTCTGGTGAGTGCCTCCTTTCAGGTGTAAGAAGTGCCCAGTTTGAACCTTTAATAATTACTCTTTGTACCTTGACACATGCTCCTTTTCTTTTCTAATAAGTGTCTTTATCCCTTTCGATATGTGTCCCCTTAACCTCTCATCATCAGGCACGTAGGCACGGGGGGGGGGCACGGGGGGGCACGTGCCCCCTTAACCTGCTCATCATTAGTCTTGCACCTAATTTAAAGCGACTAAGAGTAATTTCCCCTAAAGCTCGCTCGCTCGCTCGCATTTATAGATGATATAATTATATGTCACTTTAAAACAAATGGTTTTCTTTCAGTCTTCCGTGATGCTTATAACCCCATCATGATTTGGTTTTTTCCTCTTTATAAGATGTAATTTTTCACTCTGCGACCTCACAGATCTTACATTTTTTTCTCGCTCGCTTTGCTCGCTCGCAAATGAATATTCAGACAATCACACTCAGCCGAAAGTGTGATGCCTAAGCAATAACTTGTATGATATATAAAGAAAAACAAATATTGAAATCGTCCCTGATAATGGGATCACAATGAAAGGGTATATACCAATGTCTAAAAAAATGTATATTTTCGCTTTGAGATTTCGCTTTGTAGGTGCCCTTTTTTGTTGGTGCTTTCCACTTTGGAAATAGCTCCGCCGCCCCTGCTACGCATTAGCGCCAGCGTTTATTTCACGCTTGCGCGCACAGGGTGTGTGTGTGTGTGTGTGTGGGGGGGGGGGGGGGGTTCCTCTCTAGCTCTGAAGCTGATTTTTTTTTTTTACCTAGATTCGTGCGATTCGGTTAATACTTTTAGAGGGAGTCTGAGGGGTGATGTACCCCCCTCTGAAGCTGACATTTTTTTGGATTTTTGAAACTGGATTCGTGCGTTTTGGTTAATACTTTTTGGGGAGTCTGATTTGATTTCAAAACACCTGCAGTTAATGCGGGATGGTGTTGCAGCCTCTCTTTCCCCGAAAATTTAAAAATTACCAATATGCATTTGTTATATCTTATCTCGTATATAAGTTGGTGACAATTAACACTTTTCACAACATACATAGGCTCACATTTACGCTAACTCGCTTCGCTCACTCGCCAAATTATTAAACCAGGAAATAGATATTGGGGCAAGAGGCTTCAGCCCCCACTGATGGGAATGTCAAAAAAATTGCGCCCGAGCATAACTTGAAAACGGGGAATGTTGATATCGGACAAGAGATGTGACGTGAGCATGTCCCCTTTCCAAAATAATTGTGCCCGTTTGTAGGTACCAGTACACTATTAAAGTACAGTGCTTCTAATATGACCTTGTCAGTATTGGTAAGTTTAAATAACGGTCTGCGCGCATTTCGAATTTCCGGCCCCCCCCCCCCCCTATTGGAAAATCCTGGATCCGCGCCTGTAGTATATCTGTAAAGCGCTTAGAGACATCATGTATTAAGCGCTATATTAAAGCAGAATTATTATTATTATTGTTCCCAGATTTGTATTTTTGTGGAGCTAAACTTTATGTCTGTACAGAGGTCATGTATCTTGATTGTGATATGTCGAATATTTTGTCCTATAACAGCATTCAGAATGCTTGAATGTGTATTCTCTCATTATGACAAAAAATCGAAAGATAATACAAATATACATTACATTTACACAACTAAATTCTTGAAATTATGCTATTTTTGTTGATATCTTGACTCATGGGGAGCTCTTTCATGCTGCAAAGAATAGGATTTCACTATATAAAAAAAAAAAATATTCAATAACCTTTAAATATCAGGAGATAAGAAAATGGATTCTTAAATGAAATTTTCTTCTTTTTTCTTCCTTCTTTCGTTTGTTTGTTTGATTCTTTATTCCTCTTTTTATTATCTTTATCTCACTGATGAAATACGACTATAACGAGGGATTTTACCTGGGAACAACAGAAGTTATCTCTAAACAATACCCAATCAAAAAATGAACTCTAGATGGTTTAATCAGCGCCAGTCTTTATTTATGTTGTTTTGTTTTGCTTTTTTTCGGTGAATGACGCCCATGAGAGGAACAAGAGGAGCATTTCGTCTATCAAAGTCAGGGACTTCCTCGGAATCATTCGTCTTATATACAATCATGTGCCTCGGAGAAAATTTCGAGGGGGGGGGGGGATTAAACCCTAGGCCCTCCTTTAAAATCGCTACTGATTAAAGTGGAAAGCTTACTTCCAACCCCCAAATTATAGGATTCAGGAGTTTAGACAGTGGATTTTGTATCTCGATAGGTAGGCCTAACTGTGCCTGTCTTAATTAAACAAATCTTGTTATTCAGTAAGAACATTGGTCTTGATTAGGTCTGACGTCATGATTCAACGGGTCAAATAATGGTGTTATCACAAAGACACGGGACCATGAGTGCTGAGTGCAGAAGGTGGTGGGGGGCGAACGTTTGTATGGAGCAGCCCAAAGTCGAGAATGTTTTCCGACATTTTTTCCGGCTTTTTTTTTTATTACTACGTGTATTTTCTCCCGGACTGAAGTCCAATCAGCCCGCTAAAAAACAAACTATCTACGGGGTATGGGGTCTGAGGAGTGGGGGGGGGGGGGGGGGGGGTATGGAGAAATATTCTCAAAAATTGTCGCAATAAGGGGATGCGTGGCCCTTTCGATCGGCCCATCTCGTGGATCCACATAATAATTTCTTTGATTGTCCTGGGGATTTGAGCAGTCTCTTCTGTTTTCTGACCTTCTTTTCCATATAGGTAATTTAGGAAACACTAAGCTTTAACGTACCGAATCAGAAAAAGAGATTAAGCTGCAAGAAAAAGCCTGCCATGATAGGCCTACGTCTTTATGGAAAAAGAAAGATCGATCGTCTGGCATTATGAATCGCATTGTGTTCTAAATAGATAGTGAAGGTAAAATAAGAAGGGAGATTGCACCTCAAAATAATCAACTGAAGTGTCCTTCAAACTTCTATTTGTGTCTTTTGTCGTACGACAAAGATTAATTTTAATGTTTTGGTCTATTGGTCAAACTGAAAGGACCATGCACAAGAAACGCCACAAGCTCTAGTATTATAGGTAACTCTAATTCTTTGCAAGCCTCTGTCTTCATTTCATTCAACAAATGTCTATGGCTCGTATTTTTTTACTTCTCTATTTTTCCACTCCTACATTATTTTGTCATCTCTTTACGGATCTGCACTTGTTTTAGCCATTCCATTCCTTCTGTTCGATTGATAAAAACTACAAGCAAAAGGCGGCCAGAGCAGAGTATATATTCTCAGATCAGTTAGCAGAAATAAATCTAAACCTTGCTATGAAGGAATAAGGTCAAGTTTAGTTCGTGACCTTGTGACGTCAACGCAGAAGCAAACAAGCGAAATATACCTCAGTGATATATCAGCGGCGACTCTAATCGAAGCACCATTACGGACTGGGTACACGCACTGCAGCGGATCACAACAAAACATTTCTACGTACACGAAATATGACATGGGTAATATGTTTATGCCCCGGTTTATTAATGCGTACGAACAATTTTTTACAAGGTAATTGTACCTGAACGACCTGCGATAGTTCAGCGGTAATCAGGTGTATATAAGTTGCAAACATGGTCAAAGTCCGATCAAACGATACAGGCGAGAAGACTATACTTCTGGATTTATGAACGTATATGGATTTTGACAGATATGGATTTGGCTATCAACCAGGCCAGTAGTGAATGAAACGTGCAAGTCGTGTTGCTTGGCAGGATATGCCAAATTCAAGATCAATTTGGTTACAACTCGAATGACCTGTTAATGCTACGTGAGAGTGAACTGAACATGGACTTTGAATTCCATGTCCTGCCTGTTAAAGATTATTCCTCTTTCTGTTTATTACTGGATTGGCGATGAAATAACTTCGATCAGAAATCGGATTGGCAGACAGGATTCGTCGCATATTGATACTGATAGCGACGCGATGATGTAAGGCGATCACAGCTTGGCCTAATCAATCGTCAACCTGGATGACTCGACTAAAAATGAGGACGCAAATTCTATGCAGTTTATATACCTGAATAGAATTATTACACATCGATGAATATTATTTTACTTTCGCCCTGCGAGGAAATGACTCGATCGGAAATTCATCTTGGTTACATTTGGACATTTATGGGTTATATTATACCCCCGGGCCCCGGTAACATCTCTATGTACAATTACACTTACTAGGTCTATAATTCATTAGACATTAGACATTAGACATTGACGGGTGTATTGATTGGACCCTAAGTTACCCCGGGCCGGCCCGTGGCCACAGCTCAGTCGGAGCAATGACATCAACCGAGTCTTGATTTGTGTGGATTAACGACAAAAACTCTCATGGACTGTAAAAGTGAACGATTTGAAAACTGGAACTAGTGAAAATGGCTAGCTTTACAGCGAATCCACTCGGTCGTGTAAAATTGGTAAAATCCTTGGTGACGATTGTGTTCTGTATGGTTGTGGGGTATGCGCATCTTACCACCAAAACTGACTCACGGCAAAAGCAAAGACTGGAGGAAACAAACTATGATGGTGCTTCCAGATTGAAGAACGTAGACAGATTCATCAAAGGTATATGTATTAACATTACACTCAGGCGCGTACGCAGGATTTTTTCAAGGGGGGGGGGGGGGGGTTTAACATTTATAAATCGGGCCGAAAATTTCGCAACGACTCAGCCAGACGCTCAATAAGCGTGGGGGAGGGGTAAGAGGGCACTTTTTTTGTCGTTTTGGTCCCCCCAAAAAAAATCGCAACGGCTCAGCCGACCGCTAAATAAGCAGGGGGGGGGGGGGGGGAGGACACTTTTTTGGGGGTCTCGAAATTTGAAAATTTGACATTTTGCTCCGTTGGGGGGGGGGGGTAAGGTCAGCTTTTTTATGTCAGCCATGGGAATATTTTTTTTTTTAATAAATAAAAAAAAAAAATCCGAAGGGGGAGGGGGTTTAGGGGGGTTATGTCAGGGGGGGGGGTTAACCCCCTAAAACCCCCCCCCCTCTGTGTACGCGCCTGATTACACTAGTATAATACAGTCAAGCTGTAGAACGAAGATTGTGTGTTGTAGAGAGCTAGCCACATGAATGGCAAAAATATTATCTGTTTTCATTAGTTGGCCTAAATCTTGTCAATAGATATATTTGACTACAGTTTGTCTAATTCGATAGCCGTATACATTTAATTTCAAGTTTAAGTTCATCTATTTACTATTTTCAAATAATAGTGCATAACATAGAAAGCAAAACAAAAATACATTTCTAGTAAAAAGTGTGTTTTACGTAGATTTTAGTAAGAGTAGGCACAGTATAGGAGCTTATTTTCATTGTTCAAATAATTTATCCATGTCAGAATTGCTAGAACATCTAAATGAAGGTGTATAGTAAATTAAGTGAGTATATAGTACAACAGTAGCAATATTTCAGAAAAATTATTCCAGTTTGTTCATAACACCAATATTTTGACAACCTTGATACAGGGTAAGTCACGTTCTTCTCTCCATCTGATTTTTTTTCTACCTTGAATATGCCCTACCGTTAAAAAAAAATCTTAAAAAAAAAAAATCAATTATCTTGAGCACGTTTTGGTGGTGGTGCTGTTAATGATGGTCACATTTTTCAAATTACAACCTTCACGAAAATTGATAGTTCGGGGGAAAGCAGAGCTATTTTGATTGTTTTTAATCTAAATTTTACGTGAGGACGGAAAGTAAATTATTGACATATGGCCTTCGAGATAATCATGTTGCTGTTTTTTGTGTTTTTGAGTTTTTGTGTTATCTTTTCTTCTTTTTTTTTTTGGGGGGGGGGAGGGGGGGGGGGGTAGTAGGGCATGTTAAAAAAGCTATTCTTGTAAAGTATATGCCCCAACTCTGAGTTAGGATGGTAATCATAGAAAGAAAAGAACATTTGATCAAACGAACAAACAAGACTTTGACACGAAAGAAAACAAAATCATGGGATGGGTAGGTGGATAGTTGTTTCCAAGAGGGGTAAAAGGGATAGGGGTTAAAGAGGGGTAAAAGGGAGAAGTAAATGAAAGTGAAAGTGTCAGAGTGTGGTAAAGGAGGGACGAGAGAAAGAGAAAGAGAGGGAGAGAGAAAAAGTGACAAACAGAGAGGAATAGAGAGAGAGAGGGGGAGGGGAGGAGAGAGAGAGAGAGACAAAGTGAGAGAGAGTGGAGAAGAAAAGAGAGAAAGAGAGCGAGAGAGAGAGAAAGAGGGAGAGAGAGAGAGAGAGAGAGAGAGAGAGAAGGGGTATTATGTCGTTGCTTAGTGAGTTCCAAATTTTGGGCCGTAACTATGTAGAAAGAGACTGTTTTATCTGCAAAAGGGGTGCACGTGAGGGGCAGGGGGAAATGGTTGTATTGTCTGGTAGGTATGCTTTTTTTCTTCTCTTTTTAATGAGTCGAGATAATTGTTTTCCACCCAAAAGAAAATTAAAAAAATCTATACAAAAATCAGTTGGTCTTGGGATTTAATCAGCGGGCGGGGTCCAATCAACCGTGTAAGGTAGGTTTAATATCTGACCACGTATTAGGAATGGGTAATTTATTAAGTGGGTGTGGCAATTTAGAAAATGGGCGTGGCATTTTGCAGAACATGCATTGTAAGGTGGTGAATTCTATCATCACCAATTTCCTTTGTATTTTTTGTGTGTAACCAAAGTGATGCAAGGGCGGTGGCTCCAGCACCCCCCCCCCCACCCCCCCCCAAAAAAAAAATGTTAAAATTAATATTGAGGGCAAGTCACCCCATATTTTGACGTTAAAGTGGCCTATTTGTTTTGGAAATTCAGCCGAGTATATGTTTACTGTATTTTAACATCTGATACTCCTTTGTCATTGGTTTTCAACTGTTTATTCATATGAGAAATGATGTATCATTTCAGACGAATTTCTCCAGGATGAAACATCGAGAAGAAGGCTTCTGTTCGTCGATGAGAATGGGGATGATGACGAAGACAACTGCACAGTGAGGGGCATCAGTAAGTTTCCAAGGGGTGTCTTCACGAACGAGCAGCGGAAGGGCGGGGCTCTGGTAGTCAACTTCCTAGTATCTCTCTACCTCTGTGGTGCTATTGGTTATGTGTGCGCCGCCTACTTCGTGCCTTCCCTTGAAATACTTTGTGAACGTAAGTTGGTTATGACGTCATGGTTGGGTCAAGGGGGTGGGCACACGGGGCAAATCCTCTCCCTCCTAAGGCTTAACTTGATACATGCTTGTGCACCCCAAAAGACAGTATGTACCAGAAAAAATACAATCCAAGAGAAAAGGAGGGGCATTTATCATCTTATCCTTTTTTCTTTTTCAGAACATTCAACGTAAATTGACAACACACAATAATAGTGTACACATATGAACGGCCATGAGTACAATGGTACAAGATTTTGCACAAGGTGAAAGATAAGTGGAGCGTATCATCTTTCACCGAATGTAAAATCTTGTTCCATTGCACGAATAAAGACCATTCACTATTTGTTTAGGGTGATATATAACATTTATATCACTTCAACGGTGGTTCCAAAGTGACAGCACACAGCAATACAATCATGATATAGATGACATTCTTATTATATATTATTTACAGTAGGCACAAACGGTTATTCTTATGAGTGTAACTTGGAAACAAAAATCTGTTTTGAACATTTGGTTTCTAGAGGGCCTTTGTTATTTGTCAAGAACACAGTTTGCAGCCATTTGATACGGTCATAGACTTAAACGGCTTCCCGACTTTTGACCATAACAAAGATTAGATTTCAAGATAAGTCCATTGCCAAGTCAAACACTGAACAAAAAAAGTAGGACATGTGATTTCTTGACAAGTGAATTGCTGTGTTGTTTGTTCTGTGGAACAGGCGCGTACGCAGGGGGGGGGGGGGGGGGGGGGGGGGGGTTAGGGGTTAACCCCCCCTTTGGTATTTTAATGTGTGTATTTTGAGGAAACCCCCACCCACCTAACCCCCCCCCTTTGATTTTTTTTTTATTATAAAAAAAAAAAAAAAAAAAGGTGTCGTTACCCCCCCCCCCCCCCAACGAAGAAAAATGTCAAATTTTCAAATTTCGAGACCAAAAAAAAAAATAAAGTGTCCGCTTACCCCCCCCCCCCCCCTCCCCCACTGAGCGACTTTTCGGCCGGCGCGATTTTCAAATTTTCGGGAGCAAAATAATAAAGCTGAGTCGTTGCGAAATTTTGGGCCCGATTTTAAAACCCCCCCCCCTTGAAAAAATCCTGCGTACGCCACTGCTGTGGAATTTGCAAGAATTATCTAAAGAGAGAGAAGGGAGAGAGAGAGAGAGTGAGACAGGGAGAGGGGGTGTGGAGAAGGGAGGGGGGGGGGGGGGGGGAGAGATGAGACGGGGATCTTTAGAACAGAATTGAATTTATTCAAAACCATAGCAATAATCGTTAGCAAAAGTTAGCAATAATCATACGAAAGGCTTTTTGAGCATCAGTTTAGAAGAAAAAAATGATGTTACGATTGAACGCCCGTTTGCCACCTTTATAAATCTGATTTTACATCAGAAGCACGTGTGATTTTGCTAATAAAAGTTATATGCGTGATTTATATCTTATCGTTAAGCTGATGTAAAACGAGTCCCTTTTATTTAAACAAAAAAGACATGGCGATAAATCTAAGATTATTATCATTGTTATTACTATCATAATTTATTATTTTAAATCTTAGGTCTAAAACTACAACCTGATGTAGCGGGTGCAACTTTCATGGCGGCTGGTAGCTCGGCACCTGAACTCTTCTCAGCTGTTATAGGTGAATATTATTGCTTCGTCACATTAGGATTATAATTGCAATGGTATACTCCTGGGGCATCGCTAGAATGAGACGGGGTAGCCTCTAAAAATGTCGTCAAAAAAGCAATGTCCAAGAACCTAAATTCGTTTGGTTGTTTACAACCTTTCGGCTCACCTGTCGGATGATTTTGTTTGACTGCTTTAGGGCGACACCCCCAATTCCTTAGTATGGGTCCTCAAGAATCTTGTGAAGTTGGGGTCAGTTTTGCCTCCTCGATCATGTTCATACCATGAAGTACACTCATGTGATGTTAATATCATAAGATCTTATCTTATGACCCCGGCCCCCCACTCAGGTTTCAAAATGACCGCATGCGTGTTGCCAAAATGTCCTTCTCGTAACAAAAGAAAAAGGTCGAGCCGTATTGACTTTACACACCGGACTTTTGCTGAAAAGGGGGGGGGGGGGGTGCGGAAAAAAGGCTCGTATACAAAAGAAAAAGGTCGAGCCGTATTGACTTTACACACCGGACTTTTGCTGAAAAGGGGGGGTCGGTTGGAACACGCATATGCGTACCCTAAATAACACTGAGTGGGGGGCCGGGCTTATGACGCACGGATAGCCAGGCGCGGATCCAGGATTCTTAGGGGAGGGGGCCCAATTTTTTTTTTTTTGCTCCCGAAAATTTGAAATTCGCGCCGGCCGAAAAGTCGCTCAGTGGGGGGGGGGGGGGGGGGGGGGGGTACAGAGCACAATTTTTTTTTTTTTTTTTTTTTTTTTTTTTTTTTTTTGCTCCCGAAAATTTGAAAAACGCGCCGGCCAAAAATTCGCTCAGTGGGGGGGGGGGGGGGGGGGGGGGGGGGGGGGGGGGGGGGGGGGGGGGGGGGGGGGGTAGTGAACACAAATTTTTTTTTTTGATCCTCAAAAAAATTTCAATTTGCACCCCCCCCTTGAGCGCCAGGGGGGGGGGCCCAACCCCCAAAATCGTAAAAATCACGTGATTTTACATGATTTTTTCTCAAGGGGGGGGGCCCGGGCCCCCCGGGGCCCCCCCCTGGATCCGCCACTGCGGATAGCTATTGTATAGCTCTATCAGGAAGAGAATCGTTAATATAAACTCATATTTATAGAGTAATTCATGGTAAACAGGTATTCCGTATTGTGACATCTGTGAACTAAAACAGATATGGCAAGGATTACATTTTTTAATGATTTTATCATGAAATCTCATCTAACTGATGTAAAGACGCCCCCCCCCCCCAACAAAAAAATGAATACGAAGAAATGAAGGATTCCTGAAGGGTCATATAGAAACTTTAAAACTGCCTCTCACCTTGCTAACTCTAATCATCTTTCTCTACGGAATAAAGTATTGGAAATAATGTACTCATACTTCAAGGAGATATTATTTTACTCTGTTTCAAGCAATCGGAATATAGATTTTATTCAGTGCTTCCCAGAAAAAACGAAACCGAGAATAATCGGTGTTTTATCATAACTTAATCACAATTATAAGTAAGTAATTACACACATTGGTAAAGCTTAGATCTTTCTCTTTCATTTGATGCAACTCATATGCTTTACAAATGTGTGACATTTATCAATTATAATTGTGATCAAGTTATGATAAAACATCGATTATTCTCGGTTTCGTTTTTTCTGGGACGCACTGTATAGTCAGACGGGGGCTTTATGAAATTGGTTACTTTAGCCTCAAGTCTCAACCTTGTCCTTTCATTTTGAAAACTAGCTATATTATAGGTTCGTATCCCTCTAAAACTGAAAGGGGCCTTCAAGGCACGATTTATAATTATTTAGATTCTAAGATAGTTTTTATAACTATCATTAAAATTGTGCACTTTGCCGTATTTTGTCTACTCATGTTATCCAGTGCCGTAAATAATTTTCATTGAATTTTTATCTTTAAAAATGTTTCCTTGCTGTACATGATATTGATACAAAGTGCAGATTTATGCAAATGTAAAGAGAAGCTAAGAAAATCATAATAAAATGCAGACGTGCTCACCATATTTATATCATTTCATATATTTGGATTTCAGATCAATAATTGCAGAGAGTAAACATTTGATACTTTTGAATAAATTGAAACAGGACCCGGAGAAAACGATAATGTTGTATAATATACATTATTTCCCTTTTTGGTTTACGGCACGTAAACATAGTCATTGGCTTCCAATGAAAATGATGGAATTTTTTTGTAAGATTTGTCTATTGTAAATGTTAAAATCATGGCATGAACAAAACACATGCAATGCAGCATCACGTTATTTCGCCTCGTGAAAATATAATCTTAATTTCTCCATTTCCCTTTCTGTTTTCTTTCTTCTTTCTTTCTAGAATTCCTGAGTCTTTTATCTTTTTACGTTTGTGAAGGAAAACATTTTTTTGAAATACTTGATTGCGGGCAAAAGATATTGACTTGGAAGGGCGTTTCTGAAACCACTACTGGCAGTCCTGGCCCCAAATAAGGATTTAAAGAATGGCTAGAAAAGTTTTAAATTTGCTGACAGAAATCTTGAACAGGAATGTTTAACACCCCATCCTCGTTCATTATGAGGAAATGGAGGTGCGCGCTTGACAGGCGACTTTAAGTTACTTGTGTTCTATGTTACTGTTAACCAATAATTTTGTTAATATATGTATCTGTATATGGCATGGAAGCTGCTAGACAACTGCTGAGTGATATAGATTTGTAATGTTCTCAGAATTTGTATATTTACCTGTGCTTCACACTTTACAAAACTGTAGGTGAGTTTTTACATGCTGCCATACTGTGTGACCTGTGTATGTTGCTGTACAGTGTAGTTGACTATTCAAAGTCACCCATCCATGTCATTGTTTCTTTTGATATTCATGAATGAGCTCTAGTATAACAATGGAGATAGCCAGATATGTCACCTTTGTTCTGATTGCTGCATTGACCAGTACATCTGTTGCAAATTGCCATGTAGTGGTAAAGTATAGAAATTGTAGTCTAATGTCACCATCTAAGGTGAAAGTCATTGGATCGTGTATCTTGTATTATTCCAATACTGATGCAACTTTTAGATTACAACTACTTATGTCGGGTGATGTCAGTCCCAATCCTGGACCCGTTACATCTGAGGAGTATAGACAAACACTCCCAGCTGGAAGAACTTTAGTTCATAATGTAAATGATAAATCTTACACTAGACTTGATCTTTTGCAATTAAATGCTTTGCCCATTAACCAACAATGGCATTTCCTTCATCCTGATGTTATGAGAAAAATCAGTAGCCTAGGAATAAGTCGTAACCCCAAACTCAGAAAGAGAGCCCATAGGTGTAAACGGGGAGGCCGAAGAAAACAACATAACATCCATGTGCTTGTTTCTCAGTTTGGTCTAAACGACAAAACTTCTGTTAGAGGAATCAATCACGATAACTTAATTGTTATTAATACCAATACCGAAAAGATATATGGGTCTTGTTTAAAGATGTGTTTGTGGAATGCTCACTCTATATGTAATAAGACCTTCCTACTCCATGATTACATTTCTGAACATGATATTGATATAATGTTTATAACTGAGACGTGGCTTAGAGCAGAAGATCCAGTCGTCATCGCCGAATGCTCTCCACCTGGGTACACGTTTATGAATGTTCCAAGGCCGACCGATCCTCATGGAGGCATTGCAGTCATTTTCAAGTCTCCACTTCAACTACATCTGAAGGTTTGTGAATCTGTGACTTTCTCCACTTTTGAACTCGCACACGTTGTTAGTAATGCAGGTTCGATTCATTTCCTGGTAGTTTATCGACCCCCACCTTCTTCACGAAATCGGTTTCGTACTGCAGACTTTCTTCAAGAACTTGATGATCTTACCGCTGAGATATCACGGCTATCTGGACGAGTTCTTCTCCTAGGAGACTTTAACATCCATGTCGATATGCCTTCAAAGTCTGAGGTAGCCCAGTTCCTTTCCATCATAGAATCAGCAAACCTGTCTCAACACGTCCATGATGCTACCCATAACATGGGTCACACTTTGGACCTTGTCATGACCAGGAATGAGGATAATCTACAGGGACAATCCTCTACAGACATTAATTCTATCCATGACTGCGTCATAGAGGACATTGTCATACACCGCAACCTTATGTCTGATCATCACTGTATACGCTTTGTACTGAAGTGTCCCAAGCCAGTGATGTGCAAAGTAAAGCAGATTTTTCGGAACTTCAAAGAGATGGACGTCGAAGGCTTCAAAGAAGCACTGGTTGTTAGAGTCAACAACCCGCTTTCTATGACTGGAGATGTAAATTCACTTCTTGCTGCCTATACCACAGCCGTGGCAACCTGTGTCGACGAGTTTGCCCCACAGAAATCAATTCTCCGCTCCACTAGGGTTCGTAATCCTTGGTTCAATGAAGAGATCCTTGTTGCACGCCGTGTAAGAAGACGGGCTGAACGGAAATGGATCAAAAGCTCTTCTGAGACAGATCACACAGCTTTTAAGCTATCTAACAGGCATGTTAATGAGATCATTGTTAAGACCAAGCAAAAATACATCATGGAATTACTCTGTAAAGCTAGTGCCAAAACTGTTTTTCAAACGATTAATAATCTGCTCCACAAGAATGTAAAAGTTCTCCCTATGTATGAAAATCCTACTGACTTAGCAAACCGTTTTGCTTTGTTCTTTGTCAATAAAATAAGTGATATTCACAACAATGTCACAGGCATACCTCCACGAAGTAGTGAAGGCTGTAGGATGTGCAATACTGTTTATGAGAATGATTGGAATGAGTTTGAAACTGTGAGCGAAGATAATATCAAACGCATTATAATCCATATGTCTAATGCTACTTCTATGTTAGATGCTCAACCTACTTGGCTTTTGAAGAAACTTATCAATTGTAATGTTCCTGCCTTAACTTGTATTGTAAACAGTTCTTTAGCATCTGGTATTTTCCCAGAAGCTGCTCACGAGGCTGTAGTTGTACCTATCATCAAGAAACTCAACTTAGATAAGGATACTTTACGTAACTACAGGCCTGTTAGTAATCTTTCACATGTTGCCAAACTGATAGAAAAGGTAGTAGCTATTCAACTCACAGACCACTTAAACGATAACAGCTTATATGATCCAATGCAATCAGCTTACAGGTCCAATTTCAGCACTGAAACAGCTCTTTTGAAGCTACAGAATGACGTTTAAACATTTTTTGATCAACGAAGGTCAGTTTTCTTAGTCTTATTAGACCTTAGTGCAGCTTTTGATACGGTCGATCATGTGATAGTACTTAATCGTTTAGAGTCTCGTTTTCATATATCCGGTGTAGTTCTTAGTTGGATGAAGTCATACCTAACTGGATGGTCATCCAGGGTAAATATAGCTGGGGAATTATCTGACCCATGGGTATCTGATTTTGGAGTTCCTCAAGGGTCAGTTCTCGGACCGATCCTTTTTAGTTTATATATCACCCCAATATCTGATATTATTAATAAATATGGTTTACAGTATATTTGCTACGCTGATGATATTCAGTTATTTACTTCTTTTGACCCACGCTCTTTGGAAAACATTAACGAAACACTCCACCAAATCTCACTGTGCATTGCAGAGATCAGCACTTGGATGTCGTCGAACTATCTCCAACTTAATAATAACAAAACTGAATTCATGGCCTTCTGTTCTTCCGCTCACCATCTTCAATATATATCAGATGTACAGCTTAAAGTAAATAATCAATTCATTCCTCTCTCTCCTAAAATTACAGATCTTGGTGTATGCATCGATAATATGTTCAAATTGACCTCTCATGTAAACCAAGTAGTCCGTAATAGTAATTTTCATCTCCGCAATTTATGGAGGATTCGCAGATTTATTGATTTAAAGACATGTCACCATGCTGTCCGAGCTCTTATTATTTCTAGATTGGATTACTGCAATAGTCTTTATACTGTTTTATCTGCTAAAGATAGAAGGAAACTTGAAACTGTCCAGAATCGTGCCGCTAGATTAATTTTTGGCCTTGGGTCAAGAACTCATACTTCACCTTTACTTAAGGAGCTCCACTGGTTACCTCTTCACCAACGTGTTCTGTTTAAATTCTGTTTGTATGCTTTTAAAATACTCAATCATCTGGCACCTGAATATCTTAATGACACCCTCCAAATATATACACCAACTCGTAATCTTCGTTCAGCAACCGACACATGTAAACTTAACATTCCCAAATCTAGACTCTCAGTAGCTGAAAAACGCTGTGCAGTAGCTGCATCAAAGACATGGAACAGCATCCCTCTTTCCATAAGGAAAATTACCTGTCTTGCCACCTTCAAAAGATCCCTCAAAACTCACCTTTTCCCCAATGATCTATGTGATATACTTCCTGTACTGTACTTTCTTGTCCTCTTTACATATATTTGTATTTGTAAGCGCTATGGTACTTATTGTTTTTAGCGCTCCTAAATATTCGATATTATTATTATGAAGCCCTTGGCTCCACCTATATGGATCCTTATTCCTCATGCCTAATCTCATCTTCGCTTTCTTTTTATAGGAACATTTATTTCGTATGATGATACAGGATTGAGTGCCATTGTTGGTTCGGCGGCTTTCAACATCTTTGTCATCATCAGTCTATGCTGTTTCTTAGCCGGGCAGGTGAGTTGCTAGAGCACCAGATTTTCTGATAGAATAATATAGTCTGTGGTGAAGTATATAGGTCTAGTCATCGAGGGGACACTCATTGGGGTGGGGGTCGGGATGGATTACCATATGAAAAATGCACAAGATTAAGGTCGAGCGAACGAGCGTGGTAAAAATTCATTTTTATATATAAAATATGTTATATATTCGAGCATCGAGGTGCCCAGAATATGATGACATTTGGGCACCTCGCTGCTTAAATATGAGCTTGAATATAAATACATTCAGGCATAAAATCAGATGTTTGGCTGTTTCAGAAATTAAATACTTTAATGACTTGAAAATGGTATTTCCTTATAAAAAATACAAAGCGGCTTTTATTGTTTTGACTTCACGAAATTGACATTATTCCCAAATGCATTTGAATATAACTAAATTTCTACTCGCGGCGCGGCACCCCTATACATGTCTTGCGGCACCCCAGTTGAAAGACGCTGCTGGTCTTTATATAATATAATAAAAAAAATTCTCTTTACCTCTTCAGAGGGACTTTATTGTTCCATTTCAAAATACATATATATTATTTACAAAACAAGTAAAATGAAACATGAATTATATACAAGATCAACATAATATCTTAAAATGATCATTTTAACATTTCTAATACTTTCTTAACTTCGTCAATATCGAAGTATTTTATATTTTCTTTGTATTTCAAATAACATTTTAATGATGAAATAAAATTATTTATTAACCTCTTTGGATTGGTTGGTACTTCTCCAAAGTTCCGCTTTACGTAGTCTTTGTATATAACCAGTTGAGCATAATTTATCCAAAAATTAAGTAAATTAAATTTTCTGTTATCTATTTTATATCCAATCAACATTTCATATCAATTTCAATTTCTATTTTAAAAATGAAATATATAATTCTTGAGATAATTTTCCAGAAAACTCTTAATTTCTTGCAACGAAATATAAAATGTTCAATAGTTTCTTTTTCACGACAAATTTCACATTCGTTAGACTGTACGATTTTCCATATAAAGAGATTGTCTTTAGATGGCAATATTCTATGAATTAATTTGAAATTATATTGTTTGATCTTATTGTCTCTTATGTTATTCAATTTGAACTGAAATACATCTTTCCAAACAAATGTTTCTGGTAGGCCTAAAATATTTTTCCAAAAATGGAAACGAATTTTCTCTTTTTTCCTTTCTAGCATTAAATTACAATAACTTTTCGCCGTAGTAAATTCAACGCTTATAACATCTAAAGTTCTCTCAATGTACATTGTTTCATTGAGACTTTAAGCTTTGTCTAAACGTAAATTTTGTGACCAATATTTTGGGAATGCTTTTTTTAATTTTGACATTTTAAATAAAAACAACAGATTCTTTACATAAAAATGGTTATTGAATAGAGAGTTATCTATCCATGTACCTTGATTTATAACATGTTTGATTTGACAAATTCCTTTTTTTTTTTTATCCACAACGGGAAATACAGAGGTTTATTATCAATTACAATATTACTATTATTCCAAAGTATTTCATTTGGAATATCTTTTACTTCAAATTTATTTACATATCGAATTTCTGACCATGTGCAAAGCAAATCCATATAAAATATTGGTAAATTTCTTTTTTTACATATCATTTTCATGTGTTTAATATTGTATTGTATTGTATTTATTAACATTTATTTCCTTCTCAACAGCACAATATAAAACACAATGTATATATACATGATATATGTAACAATTATTTCAACATAGAGTATATAGTAATTAATTCAGATACGGAAGGAGGCGAAAACCCGGAAAGCGTAGCTTGAGTTGGGAACGCCCATAATAAATTAACACAGTTACCGAAAGAACATTATAGACATTATTATGAAAATTACATTGTATATAACAGAACGTTGATAGGAAAGAAAAAATAGTGAAAGGAAGAGAGGAGAGAATTAAGTATAGGAAGGCATGTTCACTTATAAAGAGAAAGTTACATCAATAATTGGGCTGTACATGTGTCTGCGATTACATCATAAACATCAACATCATATGACAATTATACTGTAAACATAACGGCATCCCGCCAACTCTTTCAGTCCGAAATGAAAACAATGTCTTCCACATTGCATCATCTGCATTAAAAAACTTATATATCCAAGATAATCTAAGTGAATTAGCTTTCAAAATCAAATCAACCATACCAAGCCCCCCTTCTCTTTCTGACTTGATACAAACATTCCGTTTTACTTTTTCACGTTTAGAATTCCATATAAAATTATAGTCCTATGTAAAGCTTTGCATATATGAATAGGCATTGAGACAGCTGTGCCTAAATAGACGAGCTGAGGAATTATCAAACATTTATAATTATTATTTTTCCATAACAGGTCAGTCGTCTCATTTTCCACGTCTTAAGAATATTATTGTTTTTTTCAACTTTCCCCTCTCAATTCATACTGCTAACATATTTATCATTTTTACCAACGTAAACACCTAAATGTTTAATTGGTTCTTCTGTAAATTCAATATCATATTTTTGTCGTATCTAAGACCCCTGTTACACATACGTCTGAAAGTGGACTGAGGCCGGCCCCGGAGGCGGCTCGACGTATGTGTAACACCAACTTTTTTTGAAAAGCCGGACTGAGGCCAGGTGGACTCAGTCCACCTCTGGATGTGGTTAGAGGCCGGCCTCAGTCCCGCAATCAGTAGGTGTAACACCAAAGTGGACTCGGGGCCGGCTTATAAGCGGAAGTGACGTGACCTGTCATCATAAATCAACATAATACATCGGGCGCCCTTTGCCACCTTCTCTTATGTTATTCTTTGTTTTTGTCATTCAATCACTTTCTCTTTCCGTCTTTCCCTGTGTTATTCTATGTTTTTATTATTCTATCACTTTCTCTTTCTGTCTTCCTTATGTTATTCTTTGTTTTTATTATTCAATCACCTTCTCTTATGTTATTCTTTGTTTTTATCATTCAATCACTTTCTCTTTCCGTCTTTCCGTCTTTCCTCATGTTATTCTTTGTTTTTATCATTCTATCACTTTCTCTTTCTGTCTTTCCTTATGTTATTCTTTGTTTTTATCTTTCAATCACTTTCTCTTTCCGTCTTTGCTTATGTTATTCTTTGTTTTTATCATTCTATCACTTTCTCTTTCTGTCTTTCCTTATGTTATTTTTTGTTTTTATCATTCAATCACCTTCTCTTATGTTATTCTTTGTTTTTATCATTCTATCACTTTCTCTATCTGTCTTTCCTTATGTTATTCTTTGTTTTTATCATTCAATCACTTTCTCTTTCCGTCTTTCCTCATGTTATTCTTTGTTTTTATCATTCAATCACCTTCTCTTATGTTATTCTTTGTTTTTTTATCATTCAATCACCTTCTCTTATGTTATTCTTTGTTTTTATCATTCTATCACTTTCTCTTTCTGTCTTTCTGGAGTCCGCCCAAATGTCAGCTCGTGAAAAGGCGACGTGAGGCCGGCCTATGTGTAGACGCAAAATTGCGGGCCCGAGATCATGTGTAACAGGGGTTTGATTTTCTCGAGGTGGCTTCAAATTGCAGGCGTGAGGCCGCCTCCGGGGCCCGCTTTAAAAGCCGACGCATGTGTAACAGGGGTCTAATTCTTTCATTTTCATTACTTTTGTTTTATTCCAATTAATCCTTGGACCTGCAAAATATTCAAAATCGTCTAACTCTTTCATAACATTATCTACTGATTCCATTGAATTAACAAATAATGTGGTATCATCTGCGAATTGTGTTATCTTTACTTCGCTAACCCTCTGAACTTCTATATCTTTGGTTGTAATATTTATCCCTCTTATTGTATTGTTTTCTCGAATTTTATTTGCTGGTATTTCTGCCACTAATATAAATAACGAAGCTGGTACTGGGCAGCCTTGGCGAACGCCCTTTTGAATATAAAAAGTTTCAGATAGCCACCCATGCTGTGACACCCTACCATGGGCATTTGTGTATAAAGCTTTAATCCATCCTATAAAGGAAACCTTGAAATGCATACGTTTCAATGTCTCAATAAGAAATGAGTGATTTACATTATCAAACGCCTTTTTGAAATCTAAAAATAAAATGATACCGTCAATATTTGCCAATTTACAATAATCAATAACATCTTATACAAGTCTTTTGTTTTCACTTGCCATTCTACCCTTTACGAAACCTCTCTGATCGGCCGAAATTATACTTGGCATATTTGGTTGTAGCCGTATTGACAAAACACGTGCTGCAATTTTATAGTCTATATCAGGGAGGTGAAAGAAAAGGAGGCGAAACTCTAGTAATTTATTCAAACGCATTCTTGAGTTCTAAAGCGTAACAATGGGATGTAACATTCCACTTGGCTTTGAAGTTCCATGCTCCGATCCGCGCTTCAACTGCGGGGAGTTCGGAAGCCAGGCACCAGTTTTACATTTATTACAAAATATTAAATTACCGGCAAAATTTCAGTGTAAATCAAAAACTTTATATGGGGATTTTATTGGGAATAGTGCATCAAACAAATTTTCAAATTTAAAACTCCGTCCTTCTTTTAATTTGTGTGCCAGAGTTGGTAAAAGAAAAATTACATCCTGTCAAAAACTCAATATTTTAGGATGATGCGCTAATTTGTGCATGCTTTAATGTCCCGTTATTTGATCCATGGTTTACAATCTTCAATAACATTAAGTTTGCTAATGCGTGTTTTCGCGTGTTTTTTGTATTTTTCAAGTTTAAAAAAGGATGAAAGTACACAAATTTGTGTTCGCTTGTTCTACTCTTTACACATTCAACAATGGATGAGAAATCATTGGAAGGGACAGCGAACAGTTGCAGTGATACCATTTTCTGATGTAGGAATTCTAACTCCTGAAATTTCATGCGCTCTTTTATCTCACCACCTGGTCAACAGTTGCAGATTAGCGCATAACTTTTCGGCGGCTTGGAGCATGGGGTCAAAGGAAAACGGCTTGATTCCAGTCCTTCTCTATCACGTCCCTGCTATACATCATCTTATAAAATTGTTGAATCTCTTTTAAAATATCTTCACTGTTCACAATTATGTTACCATCTTTCTTTATATAATGTAACTCTTTCTTTTTTCCTCTTTGTTTCTCAAGCTGTAAAAAATACTTTGTACATTTTTCACCCTGTTCTAGCCATTTTTCTCTTGATCTGACGTAAGCTCTTTACATTTCATAGTATACCATTTGTCTAGCTCTCGTTTTAGGTTATCTAGTTTTTCTTTATCAGTATCATTTAAATGTTCATCTTCTACTGAACAACTGTCTTAATTCCTTTTCCATTTTCACATAATACTGTTTCATTTTTCTTTGTTTTAATCTTGCGTAACATATACTATATTCTTTTAATTTAAACTTACAAACTTCCCACTGTAGTTGTTTACTCATAGTACTTGTTTTAATCTTAATCTTCCGTATGTTCCGTCTTTAACATTTTGTACATACATATTATCATCCAGCAAAAAATTATTCAACTTCCAATAACCTTTTCCCCTTTTTTCTTGGGATATTTTGATTTTCAAAGATATTGCATTGTGGTCACATTTTAAACATGGTCGAATATCTGTCGAAAAAACTGAACATTTAAAATCTTTTGTTATTAACCAATAGTCCAGACGAGAGTAAAGTTTTAATGACAACTGTCGCCAAGTAAACTGTTTATTGTCTGGGAAAAAATTCCTCCATATATCTAAAAGCTTGTTTCTTGTTTGGAAGGATTTGAAATACTTTTTGGGTAAATATGCTTTTCCAGAATTATCCTGTTTTCTAACTATTGCAAGCGAGTGAAATGAACGATTTTTTGAAATAAATATATACAAAATATGCGACCTCACTGCTTAAATATGAGCTTGAAGCCTGTTTGGCTGTTTCAAAATGTCACAGGCGAGCGAAGGGAGCGAAGAAGAAATTAAGATACTTTATTGACTTGAAAATGGTATTTCCTTATAAAAAATACAAAGCGGTTTTTATTGTTTTGACTTCACGAAATTGACGTTATTCCCAAATGCATTTTAATACTGTATAACTAAATTTATCTCGCGGCGCGGCACCCCTATACATGTCTTGCGGCACCCCAGTTGAAAGACGCTGCTGGTCTTTATATAATATTATAGATTGGTATGGCAGAAGTAAGCATGGCTGCGAAGGTGACAAGAACTTGCTATTCGGAGAGAGGGGCTGTCGTGTTTCCTTTACTAGTGAACTAGTGAAGCGCGGTGCCAGAAATTAATGGGGGCACCGGTATCATGAGGAGGGGGGGGGGGTGTTTAACGGTCTTACTTTGTGGATGGCATGCACATTAACAAGGGCTCTGTTTAGAGAAGGGGTGGATCGACGCTATCGCCTATTTTCACTTTCCTTTCACCCTTTTCCCCTTTGCTTTAGATATAGATTAATCTTTCTTTTAAAAAGTATTTCCCTATCTTTTATTTAAACACGAATGATTTTGTGTGCTAAATGATAATTATCCCGATATATCTTTTTAATGTGTTTTAGGAGCTTGTCATTCACTGGTGGCCGTTTTGCCGTGACTGTTTTGTATACGTGATCAGTATTATATTAATGGTAGTGGTTCTTCTTGACGGAGAAATACAGTGGTGAGTAATGCACTTCCTCGTTTTGGGTTTTCAGAAGCCATTCCTTGAATTATATAAAGATATAGCGTGGCTCCACTCATGTTTTTTTGTTTGGTTTGGGGGGAGGGAGGGATTCCATGTCTTACTAATCAGTGCGATTGACGAATGTTAGGAGGCCTTTTAAAAAAATGGGGGGAATGAAAAATAAATTACAAAAACTAATTAGACGTGACAACGCATGATGACTGGGACTCGACAGATTTAAAAAGAAAAGATTACAAATATTTAGGTTGAATGATATATATCTGAATAAAAGTCAATTTTATTGTCTATACACAGATCCTTTATACTTACCAAAAACCTCTCGGGTATAAAAAAAAGTTGACTAAATGACCCGAGAATGAAAGAACCTTCCAAACTAAATAATCTTGGGTAATTTGTTATCACCCAAGAATGATCTTATATTGCGGAGGTGTCTTGATCGAGTGGTTCATTCACGTGAATCTATACCAAGTGTTGAGGATTCGAATCCTAACCCGGTACTAATATGATTTGGCAACAAATTAATCTATATTACACGTAGTTTACCACTTTCCGCCCATGTGTACTGGGTACCTGGGCCCCGTTGCATAAAACTTACCATTGATGGTAACTTTGACATCAATGGTAACTATTATGGTAACAGGGCTCAACAGCCAATCAAAATCAAGGTTTCCATGGTAGTTACCATTGATGGCAAAGTTACCATCAATGACAATGGTAAGTTTTGTGCATCGGGGCCCTGGTAAATAGTAATTGCAGGCCCGCAGGAAGAGCAGCTTCGATATTGATGTGGCTACCATGAATAAATAAGATCACAAATATTTATTTTGCTATGTATTATTAAGAAGCGTTTTTTTTTTACGTCGGTTTCATTTTAAGAAGCAGGCATGTCGTTTGTTTGGTTTTGTTCTTTCCTGATCCCTGCTAAACCTATGTTAACTCGATTTGGTAAGAACGTACTCTTTACTGTAGGTAGACATCTGTAGTACCGAATCTGAACTATCGTAAGGACACCCAAAGTGGCGAAAGTAAACGCGCCCTCTTTACACGACAACCGTTTTAGATTAATAAAGACCCAGACCCCCCCCCCCCCACCTGTTAATTTTCAAACTTCTGCCCCTACCTCCCATAAACGAGTCCGGACCTGCTTCTGATTTCGTGTTAATAATTGTTTGTCCGTCTGTTTGTCTGTCTCTGTTTGTCTGTATGTCTAGGTGGGAAGGTTTGATACTATCCTGTGGGTACATCGTGTACATCGTCATTATGTATTTCAACCCGTATCTATCCAAGCGGGCTGAAGAAATAGGAGCGAATTGGAGAAGGCGTGGCCATAACTATGACAACCCATCCGAAGAAGAAGACACAGTCAGTCTCCTTTCAGACCAGCACAACGAGGTCCTCTATGGTGAAGCCCAGACGCCTAACGGTGAACTTAGTGGTCGACATAGCTACGGGACGGTGTCTGATTACGGTACGATAGAGTGGCAAATAACATGGGTACAGACATTGAGGGGGAGGAGGAGACTCGTGTCATTGTCTCATGTGGGTGGGCTTCGATTATACGAGAATAAAAAACGAGGATAAGATACGAAGACCGAAGGCCGTCGAGTGTGGTGAGGGTGTGAACAAAGGGGCAATCATGCCTGTAGCTACGCCATTGACACGATATATTGTATTGATTAACATTTTCTCTTATAATTTTTGGAGCCTTACATTAATGCGAATAAAGAGGATCGAGAGGGGATGAAGGGAATGAACGTGTCAGGGGGGGGGGGGGGGGGGGGGGGGTGGCGAGGGAGCGAGGGCGAGTGGGGAATGGAGAGAGAGAGAGAGAGAGAGAGAGAGAGAGAGAGATAGGGGGTTGACCTAGTTCAAAAGAAAAGTCAACAGGATTTAACACTTTGGAATCAAACAAACTTGATAAAATATTCACAGTTAATAGCCTTCTTTAAAACAATATAGTAATCTTAGTGATAATATTTGTTTGACAGTCGAAGTTCAGAATGCGGTCATATCAAATTTGTTTTCTTTTTACAATACGCTATAATTGATAAACCTTTTATACTTGCCAGATTATATGCAATCATTGGCAATCATTACCAACAGTGCTTTGCTTTAACGACTGTTAAAAAAAACTCGTGTTATAAGACAGCAGATGACTATTAAGAAAACACAAACGGAGCGAAATAATCTTTGACAGTGTTTCTCATTAATGTTGATGGCCTCTACCATGAGGTATATAAACTTTGATAAACTCAGGAGAATTATGTTTTTAAATTTGAAACTATACAGAATGACTTACATATGTTATTGAAATAATTAATTACAGAAAGTTGATGAAAAGCTTTCGGTTGATAAAAACGCTCTGGTAATCGAGTGACGTGACAATAGAAACGCATAAATGTGATTAGTTTTTAGAAATATATAACTTACAGGAAAAGGTATCTCCTTAGGTCGGAAAAAACAACATTTAAATGCAAAATATTGTATAAATATCATAGTGTTTACATAATTAAAAAAATCGCTCTGGCATCCAAATATACGTGGAAACGCTGTTGAAATGGTGATTTCTTTTAATTTTTGTTTATTGCTACAAATTTTGTGACAGAAAACGGTTACATTCCCGATGGTGGAAGCTACCCGGAGAAACCCCGAACAGTGACGACCACCAGCTCCGTGGTCACTGACCACCCACTCCTATCTGAGCAAGACAGTCATGTCTTCTCTCCTCCATCTTCCTGGTTCTTTCGCGTTCTCTGGTTCGTCGGCCTTCCCGTCATCTTAATCATGTTCCTCACCGTGCCTGACTGCAGGAAACCGGGTCTCTGGAGGAGACTCTATTTCTTCACGTTTTTTATATCCACGGTCTGGTTGGCTGGGTTGGCGTATGTCCTCTATTGGATGATCGTAGTCATAGGTGAGTCTTAAAATAATATATGAAGAGTTGAATTCCAAAAGGAACTAAATCCATTTCAGTATCTTCGGAGAAAAATGAAATTGTTTACCAGATTTTGTACGGGCGTCTATGGAAAAGTGATATTAGAAAGTGCATTTTTTCATAATTGCTCCCAAAATTTAGGTAAATAATTTTGTTGAAAGACAGGTATTTAAACAATGTTCTGATATCAATTACTCAATTTTCATCCAAAGTGGATTTAGCTCCTTTCGGAATTAAGCTCTTCATATCTCAAGCTTCAGTTGAGTAGTATAAAAGTGAATAACACCACCTCGTGGTGATATGTCAGGCATGCACAACAACAGAGATACATCTGCTGTATGCATGGATGCTACAGATGTCGTGTCGTGTTCTGATAAGTATGTTTCAACTAATAAAGTTTATTTGAGCTTATAATTCGATGACAAGCTTAATTATTACAAATATTTTGTAAATATAATTCAAATCAATACTTTTTTCTCAACAACATTTTTTTCTGTCTTGTCTGATTTTTTTAGGTTTTTTGTTACCTTTGCATTTTCTAAAATTGTTTTTTCTTATTTTCACTTTCATTTTATTTTTTTCCCCTCTGAATTAAAAATTCTCCTCGGTTCTCCCGTTAGGTTCCCTTTTTATGTTTCGATTCGATCAAGTCAAAATTATATTGGATTTTGGTTTTAGAAGATAGTTATCTTTATATCATTATGATAAAGTTTAACGATAATCCATCGTAAAGGAGGCAAGATTGGTAATCTATATTCGGGTGGTTGATTACAAAGTTTATAATTTAATCAAACCATTCAACTTATCTATAATCATTGTCAAGCTTAAGGATCTATTTCAAGTTTACAGGTCCACTTTTGACACGGGGAATTGACTTCTATTGTCGAAATATCTACAATTAAGTTTATCAATTTTTCACACTTTTCAAATTGTGGTATTAAAAAAAAAAAGATAAAATCAAACGAAATCACGAATAGACGACCTCATTGAACCCAAATGAGGTGGAGGTTGCTTCCCTGTCTTGTTGATTTCTAGATCCGTAAACTATTGTTGGCTCACTTGGCTGCAACCCCCAGCTTTTAATTCCTGCTCCCTAATATAACTATGATGATTAGTTGACAATTTTACTTCATCGACGTTTACTATTGACTTCCTATCTATCAGGATACACGTTGGATATCCCTGATACAGTGATGGGGATCTCACTCTTAGCCGCAGGGACAAGCGTACCTGATGCCATCGCTAGCGTCTTGGTAGCCAGAGATGGTAAGCCAGCTCAGCCGTTTAGATCAATGAAAATTTACCCCACGCGTTTCTAGGAAACTTATTTTAAAGTCCCACCGTAGTACGTATAGCTGATTGCGCCCTCTATAGGGCAAACAATGCGTAATCGGTGCCCGTTGGTCCCCCATGATCCCCTTTTTCTTATGTTTATTGAGAGCTGATTTGATGAGATAACCACCTGTCAGCGACCTTGCAGGGAGGTCTAATCCCTCCATGCCAAACTAGTGCAGAGGGGCTTTAAAGCATTAAGTGGAGTCTCATTCATCTTTTTGTAAAGAGAGAATCCGTAAGACGCCCCTCAAAAATAATTGTAAGCAACCTTAATTTAATAGACATGCGTTGATATTCTGTGATTGTCCGTGATTTCAAATGGGAGATGTGGCTTGTGAGTTGGTCTAGAGGTAAGGTATTTGCCTACATCAGAGTCTGAGAGACTCTGGTTAAAAACTGAGTCACGTCTTTCGGATGGTGGCGTTAAAAGTCGACCCCAGACGTAATAATCAGATGTATATGAACTGATTATACACCTTCAATCTATAATTTCCCAGACACAGAACCATGCAGTTTGATTCTCTAATAATTGTTGTCCATTTACGTATGATAAAGAACGACGATTGTCAAACAATTTCCATATGCAAAAATGAAGAAACAAAAATAAACAACAAGAGCGATAACATCTCCAAGGTGAAGTGTGAAACAAGACCACTTCATTTATACTGATACAGGCTCCCTATATTTACCTCTCTATTATGTGTTTTAATGCAAGGTTACGGTGACATGGCTCTGTCTAACATCGTCGGGAGCAACATCTTCGAAGTGTTCATCTGTCTAGGTCTTCTATGGTTCATCTACGGTCTCGTCTACCAGCGTCCTGTCGAGATCGCCAGCGAAGGCCTGCTCTTTACCACGGTCGCCCTCCTGGTCACTGTCGCTTTCATTCTCCTGGCCATCCATCTGAACGGATGGAAGCTCGACAAGAAGATGGGCGTCTTGTGCATGTGCGTCTATTTAATCTTCATCACCATCGCGATCGTATGGGAGCTCGGCCTTATCGGGGGCATCGATTTACCACATTTCTGCAATGGGCCGACTTGATTAATGCCACCGACCCCGGACTACCAGCTGGATATTTACACCTTCTCCTCGTTAAGTGCCGGCGACATTAAGGCGGAAGAGACAATGCGATGATAATAATACTAATAATTAAATCAACAGTACTACTTTACAGACACACAATTTAAAACAAAAATGGTAAAAACTTCCTGAAAACAAGTGCGTCGTCAAAAAAACTTTGAAGACTACAACAGATGAGGCTTTTCTTTTGTGTAGTGGTAGGTTATTCCAAAGCTTTTGAGCGAGCGGTGCGATTAAAAGCGCAATCTCAAAGAGTTTCTTTTGTTTTTTTGTGTGAGGTAGCTTTAGAAGCAACCTGTTCCTGTCTACTTCGTAAGTTATGTGCATATGAATGTGATTTAAATGATTACAATTCAATTAAATAATTTGGGCTTGACCATTAAATACTTTGTAAACAAGCAAAGTATCTTAAATGAAATTCTACACCTTATTGGGAACGAATGTAACTTAATTGAAACTGGTGTCTTTCACATGCATTCTAAACACGCTGCAAGTTTATTTTTGTGAATCTGGTAAGCCAAACAATAATCCATTGCAGTAATCAAAGCTACTGCTAGTAAATGCCACGTTACTAGCACGATCGTAAACTTCAGATGATTTTATAGTCTTACCCACGACCTATTGAAATGTGAACAATGACGTAACATAATTTATTCATATTACTGACGGTTTTCTAATGATTAGAAGTACTATATCAGGGATTAACTTTGTTCATAATAATATATATTACCCCATGGTTTTATGTTTTTTCTGCATATGTTTAAGTTTATATCTCAGTCCAGCGAGTGTACAAATGGGTGGGTGTTTAGCACTTTATTTTTGATAGAGGGTGACATCTTCTTCTTCTCCTGGAGTTGAGTTTGGCATTTAGTCACGATTGACTATTTTCGCCACACACTATATAATATCTATTTTATGAATCATTTATATATATCTATATATATGCAATTACATGTCATGATTTACTATTCTTAGGATTTTTTCATCCTTCCTTTTTCTCGCAATTTTCTCTTTAGTTTAAGAAAAAATATGTAAATAGATAAATTTCGGACGAGACGCCATAATAGCTGTACGTACGTGCGTTTACGCTTTTTAAAAAAAACTTTTGTACTTCACACTCACCTCCACCCTTTTCAACATGCCATCTTAACAGTCTTTTTAAAAATTACATTTGGCAGACTTGCCCATGGTCTTCTTCCTTGTAAAGACTTCATCGTTTTCTTTTTGTTTGTATAGAAAGCATAATTATTTGGATCTTACAGATAAAATTTGAAATGAAATATATATATCTATCAAAGTGCAATTTTAATTTGATAAACCTTGATTGTCAGTAACATGTTCTTCATAGCTTTATAGTGTCTATCGATTGATGTGTACTCGTAAAACGATCAACGGTGCTCCAATATTCATTTAAGATAATGCAAATGTAAGTGCAATCTGTGCAGTTTTCATGCCGATGAAAAGTGCTATTTTCCGCATCGGAATTAATTTGTAAACAACAGTTTGGCTTGAGACGACGTAAGAGTATAATTATATATAACATGTTCATCTGAAATCTGAAATGCTTCTTTTTTACTCGAATAGAAGAATCTTTTTGGTTAGGTATAAACGTGGCTGAACAGAGCAAACTGTTCTCGGAAATAGTGGGAAATTCTCAGGCACAATAATTCACTTTTGTGTGTGTGTGAGGGTGTGCAGAGGGGTGGGGTGACTGTGCGTCTGTATTATGTTCCCACTTAGAAAATATCCTAAAATTGTTAATTTATTTTCAAATACGGTCATCAAGATTATTGAAGAGAATGAAGTATGGCGAAAGAGAGACAGAAGAGAAAGATGGTACGAATATGACAGAGAAAGTGAGCAGATAGTGCTAAACAGAAAAGGAAATAATGTGGAGAGAGAGACAGAGAGACAGAGAGAGACAGAGAGAGAGAGAGAGATAGAGAAACGTGTGTGAAGGAGAGAGAGACAGACAGAGAGAAAGAGAGACAGAGACAGAGAAACAAAAAGTGCAGTGTGATAGATGAGAGAATGAGAGAGAGAGAGAGAGAGAAAGAGAGAGAGGGGCGGGCGGAATGATATTGTGATCCGTTCTTGAAGTGTAACACAGTTTTTGAAAAGCACTATACTGCCTGAACGTAGTACTAATACATGTAATTATGTTCATCACGTGTTCATCAACAAAACATAAAGGAGAACAGAAACATATTAAAACATTTTTTCAGCACACGTCATCCCTTCAAATCAATACAACAGAAAACAAAATATCGAATCATAAAATATTCAAAAGATGTTCGGTTTATTTACAAATTGTATTGCACCTGATTTGTTTTGATGGAGTCAATAAATAACAAAATATATACAATGTACTTGACATGTCAACCATCGTGATATAATGCCAATGTTAAACAAATTTTCATCTGAAAGGAGAGATCATAACTATTACCAGAGCCGATCGTTTGCTGCAAATGATTGAATATCCTAAATTTTCGTTGTTGCCACCTGCAATATCGAATAAATCCCAAGCATTACGGCCTGCCTCTTATGAGACCATTGTTTATCTTTTACTTATATCGAGGATTGGGATTTTATTAGCGAAAATGTGCCTTTAAATGAATTTACGCAATACTTCATAATACATGCAGTTATAAAACAAATAATACATACACATTATTTTCCTGCGGGGAGTTCTTTCAGAGAGGATATTTACACGTAAATAAATACATCTAAAGGGAGATATTAATCATACTGTTATTGCAGCAATATGCGAGAATTCTATGCCATAATACAAATTAATGTCAATAAAGGCAAAATACTACACGGTATAAAATACATTGTGAGAGCGCAGCGTTATCAATTTATACATAAATGTCCACAAATAATGTTTGAATATAAACATAAATTCCACAAATAATTAGACATAAACTTCCACAGATTGGGCCATTAATTAAATATGCACATTCCCTTACTTTATCTCGAGACTAGAAAGAATCAAATGTTTAAATCTTTTAACATTAAATTGCACATCAGCATACTATGCATAACTCTACATAATCTGTGAAAATTGTTTGGGGAGAATGTAAATTGTAATTGAAAGCAACTATGAGTCGGTGTCATTAATTTAGAGAACAGGGCTCAGAGAATTGTACGTGTCGTAATCATAGTCGTAGTCGTAGTCGTAGTTGTACTATATCGAGTGGGCAGTGGGTAATAGTCCGCTATGGTAAATGGTCCTACTGTAGTATTTGTCGGGTTGGTTGTCGATCTAGGGTTTTAACTGACCAGTGGTAGTTGTCCGGAATACAAACGTCCATGGGATAAGTTTTCATGAAGGTAGTTGTCTAGTCCCGAGGTTATTTCGCTCACAACTGATCATCGACGACGATTGGAAGGGGGGATAAAAAAGAAAGCAAACGTGTCACATGTTCTGCACATGATTAGGTAATTATTATAGTACCAATTTAAAGCTGTTAACATAATATGTTATTATGTTATTATCGGGATGGTGGCGGATGCTGAGGATATCCTGGAGGTTCATAAATCAAATAATGTTGTCACGAAACAAATGGGAGCGAAGGTCACCTTATGCCAGAAGATCAATAAGAGCAAGTTGCAGTATTTTGGACACATTTCTAGGAGAGGAGGTGACAACCTGGAGAAGATCATTACCCAAGGTCATGTTGAGGGTCAACGAAAACGTGGTAGGCCAAAAGTTCGACGGGCTGACGGAATAAAAGAGATAACTGGCATGAACATCTGCACAGCTCATCACTATGCCCAGGATAGAAGTGGGTGGAACGTCATCATCAATAGGGTCGCAAAGGGTCAGTCATGACTGCAATCGACGACGACAAAAAGATCAGGGCCCCATCTAATAAAGAGTTGGTATTGATCGCAACTATGAACATAAGAGATAGGGGAATGCAAACTTGCGATCGATTGGAGGACTTGCGATTGATTTGGATTAATCGCAACTCTTTATAAGAAGGGGCCCTAGATCTAACATGTCCATGTAGTATGCAATTGAATGGTTACAAAAATGAAAGCTTTAAGGGTAATTACATGTTTATCGTATTTGTTGCGAACTTGCGATTGCAGGTAGAATCTCCCCCTACACCTTCATCCAGAATCGGGGAAATAAACCGTCAGTCGACTGGGCGCTGTATCTGGACAGATTTTCTATAGTCTTTCTATAGTCATTCACAGTAATGTAGTTTGTCCGAGTCCGTCAAAGAGAGAACATATCATATAGGGTTGATGTCAGTTGATGTGGCACGTTAGTGTAAGCTAATGCAACTGATTGTATTTTATTTAAACATCCTGTCCATTGAATTGAACCATGTAAACTTAAACATCATCAAAGGTTTTCGATAAGTAATGTGGTTGACATTTCCAAGGTAAATACTATATTTTTAGTCTAAAAAGGAAAAAAAAAGAACAATAAGAAAATATATAGGCCCTATGTATTCTTTTAATCTGCCAACAACGGTAGTCTTGGTCGTAGTTCATTGTCATTGTGTGTTATTTATATTAAGGTGTCGTGGTCCAGTGGATGCGTCACCTGAGAGTGGATGGTTCGCGGTTGGCAATACATCCATCTACATTTGCCTCACTCGACCTAGGTAAGGTTAATTGGTACATGGCAGGAATTAATTCCTTGAATTAAAATTGCAGCATATAATGGCAGCCATGCTTAAAGCCGGGGTAATAATTGCGAGTTAATACTTGAGGATCGTCAGGAGTGTTAAATTTGAAAGACATGAACGCTACAACAAGAACCCACTACTATTATTATTTTAATTTTAGGCAGTCAATCATGTCACGTTTGGTCCAGTCGTTGATGTCGTTCTCATCTTTATTGTCATTGCCATAAATCTTATAGGCTGTGTTCATGCAGGTCTCAAATTTGGATATGGGATATGTCAAGCGGGAAAACTGTTAGTCAGAAGAGCGTACGTGAGCAAAAATGAGCCTTTAGAAAGGGCTATCACTATGTTACCGCTCTCCAGATGAAGATGATTGTTGGAAATATATTCTAGGCTAGACCATACTGCTTGTTACTCATTTAAAGGGACATTACTATAGAAAAAACAGTTACATTCATTTAACAATAATCATATATGAATTGTTGATTACAATTTATTCTTTGTTTTTGTTTGAACTAGTATGTGATATAGTATATGATTATAAGCATAATGGATTAAATGTAGAAACTAGACAACAATTTACTTCCAGAATTATGGAATATTACATGTAAAGAGGTATATATTTAAACGACCTTTACGATTAAACTAATTTTTTAAGTTATAAAAAAAGCTGATTCAATGGCTTCTACGCTGAAATCCTTTTGAATAATAAATTAAAACAGGATTGTAATCATAATAGTTTTCCTTCTCATGGAATAGAGCATACAGAAACATTATTCTAACATTCAAAATATGATATTGATAAAGGGAAATAATATTTCTTTAAAGGCTATAGTAGAGCATAAGCAAGTGATCGTCTCTAAGATAAAAACTTTCTTTGTGTTCAATCTACAAAATACACTAACAGATGCCCAGTCTGACAAGAAGTATAATTATCTTCATCCGACTATTATGATTATTTCATTCGTATAAAAAGATGTAATGATTTCGGTGCACTATTTCTGCAAGGACAAGGTGGGTATGTCAAATGAATACAAGAAGTTTATTATAAAACTATTTTCCATAGTTGGTACATACAAACTGAATCTTAACTCTCTGATAATGAAAATAAAAAATTCACTAATTTGCTAATAAATCATCCCTGATAATATCCAGGAGATAGAAAATACCCAATTTCCACGCTAAGTCGAAAGGAAGTAATATAAAAATACAACTTTATCATTTGTGACTTATAGGAATGAATAAAAAATATGTAAAACATACAACGCCCTCTTCGTCCACCTGTATGCTACATGACGTTTGAGCATCAAACAAAAATCAATCAATCAATCTGACATTTCCAGAATACGGTCATCTTGTTATCAGTTTCAAGCAGCCGGGTTTAATTGCACAAAATAGAGTTATATTACACTAAAATAAGCAGCTGATGGAAAGCACAAAGGCTTTGATACGACTTCGTATAAAAATATCTTGGTCCAAGAAGATTTTCGTGATGATAATCAGCGTCAGTTATATCAAAGCGTCTGATGTTGCTCGCCCTTTCCTGTTGATGGAATTGGAAATCACTAGAGTACTTCCCAAAGTAGTCAGGTACTTTCAAATCACCTAGAACACTAGCTTGTAGTCCTCATGCTATCAGCAGCACATGTACTGTCAGTACTACAAACTGAATCCGTATCGTAATCCACAAAACGTATAAACTCCATTGAACATGCACTGTCTGTACTATGTATTGAATCCGTATCGTAATCCATGATAGGTATAAACTCCATTGAAGGAAAACATGGCGCATTTAAAGACGTGTTTGTCTTTTCATGGAGGCCCACCGTCCAGTGCCACCATAAACCGAGTTCGTTGGGTTCGCCGGAGAGGGCGCTGCTCTCGGAAAATGCAGAATCGTGGCTGATCTGTTGCCCTGATGAGTACGTCTGGGCCTGAATGTGGAAAGACAGGGAGAATTAAGCTCGATGTAATCATGATGTCACTACATTTTAATTTACATAATAACAGGGTGACAACAAGTTGAACACGACTATTTAAGCCCCTCTAAAGTGTTGGGAGCCCCATATTTTGCCAAACATTTGATGGCGAAATTTCACTTAAATTAATGTGAGAGAGGATGTCATTTAAGACACACTTCTGCAAAGAACCCCGGCCCAAATGTGTTTGAAGACAAACCGGCATTGATAAAAGAATACATAATTTGGGTCCAATTTCTAACCCAAATTTTGTGTTCTTCATCAATATTCGACTGCTAACATATTTTTTTTAAATATCCTTGCATAAATGTGTCTTAAATGACATCTTCTTTCACATTATGAAGCAATTTAAGTGAGATTTTGCCATAATATTTGGAGGCTCCCAACACTTAGAGGGGCTTTAATCCAGAGCGACAAAGAGGTCAACAGTATCGAAAGAACCTCCCGCAGTACAACAACACCACAGGTAAAATAAAGATAATTTGAATCTTAGATATATAGGTGATTTAAATTATAATTTATGATCAATTACCAACTACTTCTTCCAACAACAAAAAACTAAATAATAAGTACATTTATCAACACCTCAGTTCCGTACGCGAAGAAATTATTTAACAAATCCTTTCCCCATATAATGCACCAAGGGGCAGGGAGAGGGGGCAAGAATAATTATGTCACAAACAAATAAGAAGGCAGAAATTAAGAAAACGTACATAGGAAAGAGGTGTGACGTAATAACCATAGGAAGACAAAGAAGGAAAACACAATTGTTTGTAGAACAATTTCTTCATGTACGGAGCATCATAACGGAAAAATAACAAAAGACTTTTTAAATATTTATATTGATTACAAAGCTGAACAAATCATTACAACGATTCATAGCATTATTTTATATAGTTATGAGAATAAGAACTTGATAATAAAAGTACATGTACACAAATTACATTAATCAACACATTATTTCCAGGCATTATAAAGGAAAATTTTATTTACAAGCTGAAGAAAATCACAAAAACATTCATAGCATTATATAACAATACACTTGCAAAAGACTTGTTAAAAGTATTATATGATATTATCAAAAATAAAAATATGCATATGCAATGTGATGAAAAGCATACCTTTCGATCAAAGCATGGTTAGTGTTAGTCCTTGTTAGTATGACGAAGAAAAAGCTGCATTCTATATATTAAGAAGAAATTTGAAGAAGAAAAAAATTGAAGATTTGATGAGTACACATATATACATGAATCAATGTTTCAAAAGAAAATAGAGACTTGATTTATAAAGAATTAAATATTCTAGTCCATATTGAAATCATGAGAACAAGAACTTCTAATTTTTCGATTTTGATTTTTTTTTTCTTTTCCCTTTTTTTTCTTTCGTTTTTATTTAGGCACAAAAGATGGGTCACTCTTGCAACAGAAGTTAATTTTCGAAAGTGGGCTTTGCCAAAGTGGGCTTATAGAGACAACGTGAGTAAATTAGCATGTGATTCTTACATGGATTAGTGCTAATAAGGAGCGATTAGGGAGGCAACAGAGAGGCAGATAGTGGAAATGAAGGATGGGGCGGTAGGAGGTAGGGAGGGATAGATTTAGAGAAAAGGGAAGGGGAGAGGATATTAGATTGGTTATTAGCATTAATATGCAATTCAAGCGAAGATATTGAAAGAAGGAACTAATTCGTGATTATCTCCTTACCTCAAATTTGCAATCTTTTCCCAAATGAGGAGGCGAGAGTAGCCCGTGGTCTCCTTTCCCAGTCGTTTCGTTCTCTTCCCATGTCGTAGAGCATGTATCAACCTCCTGGCAAGGCACGAATTCATAGTGTGTGAAATCGGTCTCGAGCTCTGTCAAGTAGTCTACGTTCTGCGTCAACATGGCGTCTAAAGTGTTATACATGACGGTGAAGGTGGGTCGGTGGTGGGAATGCTCATGCCAGCAGCTCCTCATTATCTCGTAGCTATAAACGTAGGAGAGATATGGAGAGAGACGAATGTATTGAATTAAAATAGGATACAATTTTGGCAGGGGTGACAACCCCCCCCCCCCTCCATATTGCTCCAGTGAAATACTGATGTCAAAATAATTCTAGGGCTACTCAATTTGTAAAATAATCTACCCCCTAATTCAATTTAGGCAAAGAAAGAGGTACTTTATACTTTGGGTAGGATTCATTTAGGAAAGGGTGGGGTAAAAAAAAGTATTATTGCAGTAGGGGAGTATAAGAAAAAATAAATGTTACCAAAGAAGAATCAAATTGGAAAATGTGTGGGCTAAATTTGAAATTGACATCTCCTTGTGAGGATATGCAAAAGGGGGGGGGGGCTCTTTATTCTTAGGGCACCTCCATAGTATCCACAAAATAAGGTTATACACATCCCTTCTCTTTTAAACTCCAAGATGTGCGAATGCCTCCCCCTGATGATAGTTGACCAGCTAAATGCACATCCAATGACGAAATCTAAGGTGATGATTGATAATACTCCACCATTGCAACTCATGATTTTTTTTCAAGCAACAATACAGTTTTAAGAAGACTTACATCTCTTCTGGGCACGTGCTAGTCCTTTCCATTCGGTAACCTTGCTGAAGCTTTGATATGACATAGCGACCATCCATGCCGGGGTAGGGTACCCCGCCCAAGGTATAGATCTCATACAGAACGATGCCAAAGGACCACCTGTCAATCAAGAAATACATATGATCAAAGGTATAATCAATAGTATTCTTATAAAATTACTTTTGCAAAATTAAAAGTTCTCAAAGAATAATCTTATAAAGACTGCCTATACAATGTAAAACTGACGCACACTCTCTTGTAGTTTGGAGTCTCTGATTATGATGACGATGTTTATGAAATATAGTAGTCTGCAACGTCAAATATTTACATGACAACAGAAAATAAAAAGTAAGATCATCAAAACATCATGATAGGTCCTACGCTGGAATAGATATGTGAGATACCAAACAATTCATGAAATAACCTCCTATCAAGTAATTTTCATTCATTGTTACCAATTTTATCAGTACAAAGAAAAGAAGAGAAAGAGGAAGAAGAAGAAGAAGTACAAGAAGAAGTAGAAGAAGAAGGCAACGAAGAAAGATAATCACAGATTAAGTATTATTATTACTTAAATTTGATTTTGCGTGCACTGAACTTTGGCTGGGAACACTTTAACATATTCGTGATGTAATTGCTTATTAAATCTATTCATCATTTGAAAACAAATCTCAGCTAGGACACTTACACATCGCTCTGGATGCTGCATTTTCCTTGCGTGTTGGTCTCCAAACTGACCCACTTAACCGGTCGCTTCCTTTCTGGCGCCAATCGTTTATAACCTCTCTGATAGATGTCGTCTGCTAGCCCGAAATCAGAGATCTTGCAGATAAGCCCCTTACCAACCAGAACATTCCTCGCAGCCAAATCACCATGGTAATACAGAGTTGTCGAGAGGTACTCCTACAAGAGAGACAAAATAGATACATTAAGTGTCTCACGGGATATTTTACAAGGGACATTTCAACATCCATGTACATGTATAATGTAATTATATTATGGCATGAAGTCGACGACGTGAAATATCTCCTTGCCTAGGCATCTAGTTCTGTTGTATTGATACTTATGAATCTTACATCCACGTTGTCTCGACTGGCGTAAAATAACGTTTTGAAATTTAACAGCCAAAAAACAAATTAGCTGTGTTTGTCGAGAAAACTCTTGGAGCACATTACAGTCTACAATATTAAACAAGAATTAGGTTAGGATCATCAAGTCTCCGATGTATTGAAATTTGTGTCAGAGAGACTACATGAAGAACAAATGTTTAACCTAATATTTTGATTAAGAAATGTCAGCTTCTTCTCAAGGTAACAAAACAAACGAATATAACACCTTTACAGAAAACAACATTCCAATGTTTCAATTCCCATATGACGCCCAATGCATTGTAATGGTACAATTTTATTTTGCAAATGTGCAGAATGGTTTGAAATCATTGGTACATTTATGGAAACAATAAAATCTCTCTTTTAATTTTTGTTTTGGTTATCGTTTTAAAGTTTCGCATTAAGACAAAATGAAAGCAGTAAAGTGCTTACAGATAGGAAGTTGTTTTTATAAAAGCAGATCTAACCTAACAAGCATCCGTTTTCGACAATGGCTAAACTTTTAAATGCACCTGGTCAGGATTGCATTCAACCTGCAAATGAACACACTTCAACTTTCTAAAATTACAGCCAATGGGGATTGCAATTCGTGACATGATTGTTTGTAAAATGGGCCCTGATTGGTTACAGCTATGATTGCAAGTTTCAACTTGCGTTCAACATGATAGCAACTCACCATTCCCCTCGCAATCTGAATTGCAATCTGAAGTTGCCCGGTCGGTGTCAGTTTATAGATAGGATCATTGACAGCATTCTTCTCCTACGAATACAATAAATGATCTCAATTATTCAAAATAAATGATTAAAGTGAATTATAAAAGTGATAGAGAATAACATTGGATATAGCGCATTGAGGCAACCATCATAATATACAATCATGGAACGGCGGGGGGAGGGGGATATATAGTTTTCAGGTAAATATTTTAAATTTATATTAAACATAACTTAGCTGGTGTCATGTTATTACATGTATGTTTCAATATCAGGTGTTATGTTTTGATGATGAGAGAAAAATGCGATCAGAAAGTTGAAATCAAAATCGAATTTATCAGACATCAGCACACCCATTCACAAGAATATCTAACCCACATACACGATACATTCTAAAGCTACAATAGAGTATTCACTCTCTCCACACACTTTACATTATATAAATGCCACTGAAATGGGCTATCCGCCATCTCTATATTTATTTACTTATTTATTAATTTATTTATATCTGATATTTAGACAGGGTGACTCTTATCACCAATACTTGTGGTCTTCCGTGAGGCCCTTTTAAACAAACATAACAAGGTACAGTAGTTTTTTTTTTTTAAATCATCAACATAACAGCAACAAAGAATAAGTAAGAACATGTATAAACATATATACAAAGTATTTGGTATCCTAGTAGTGAATGAATGGTTTGTTTGTTTTGTTTTGCTTTGCTTTTTCGTTCAAGAAAACGTTGTTGCATATTCATAATATCTTAATATAATATAATATTATAGTATAGACGGTAATTAGTTTTTAAATCCGACGAAAAGTAACTATAAACATATTTCGGTATGTATTAGACTTTGAAAAAAAGCAACATATTCATCATTATTCATTATTTACAAAGTAATATTTCCACTTTTAATTAATGCTATGGAAATAAAAACAAAAAACAAAGACAAAGACATTAAAGACATAAGAGAGGGAATTAAGAACGATCTACAATACCTCTCTGCATTTCCATAGAAAGTGAAGGAGATCACCATAGTCCATGAGTTCTGTGATGAGATAGTGAGGTTCATCAGCTGTACAGCATCCAAGGATGGGTAAGATGTTGGGATGGTTGCCGATCTCGACAATGAGCTTGATCTCCTCCAGGAAGTCCTCCTTCATCGATCTCGTCGCGTTCTCTGCCAAGATTCAAAACATAAGAACACAATTATTCATCCATCTCTTTTGAAATATTGATGACTCTCAATGATAAATGATAACATAATATATTTTAAATCAGAAACTTAAATTTAACAATTCAATTCATACAGAATAATAAGATCGATGTTTGTACTGCTTTTAATTTCGTTTCTGATTATTAAATTCATTACAATATGAACATCAGAAGTGGGAAAGACATAATTACTTCAAAATAAAAGAAAGACTGCAGATAAGCCAAAATGAAGGGTGGTAAATATAACGATAACACGTGATCGCAAAGTATAAAGTTATTGTAGATACCACAACCATACATGAAAATGGCAAAAGAGAGAGCAGTTTCTGCACTTCGAGTGTATTTCAAAACAAACTGCTTATAAGTTCTTTTGAATTCGAAATCTGTTACATATTCAATAATTTCTCAGACGGTACGCAATTTTCAGGGATCACAGCATAACATTCACTCGTCACCAAAATAATATTCAAAAGCAGGATAAATGAGTGCAAATCGATAGCTTCTAGGAACCTTTTATCCAAGTTTTCGTGATTTTGTTTTTGACAATCCCACCTTCAAGGTTCAAGGTTCATTTTATTTCTTTCTTTCACAACATTTTTACATATAATAATAGAACAAAAAACAGCATAAGAAAAATCAATTTAAGTGCAATTTTAAGTCGATATATAATCCAAATGAAAGAAAGTGGAGACCTTAGAAAAGCTGGGCTTGTAAGATCAAGGTCCCCATATAAAATAATCCATCAATGTTCACTTTTAACAAATGTTTCAAAGTTATCAAAACTACACATGATTAAATATGGGGGGAATATTTACAAAAGGGATAGCTTGAAATTTGAAAAGGAGAGGATGAAAATATATACAAAGGAATCGAGAGGAAAAAGGCAAACTGGAACGAGAAAAACAACAAAACAGAGAAAAACAGAGAAAGCAGAAAGTTATATGTATATAGGGGAAAATGATATTTGGTGTAAAGAAAAAGAAAAATAGAAGAGAGGAGGGGAGGGGGTGGGGGAGGATAGTCTATCATACTACTTCTCGACATGATATATGTGGTGTATAAACCGCACAATAAAAAAGAAACTAAATAAAAGACAGAAGGAAAAGAAGTCATAAACCAAAATTTTCAGTTTGATTTTTGACGAAAAATAAAGTTTCCGTGTATTGTTTAAGATCTTTAGTGGACTTTGAAGTTGATACATGTAACTCTAATGAGACGTGGCTTATGCTTGACAAGTTTACTTTCCTGCTTTTTCATGAAGGTTGGGATTTCAATGAGGGCTAAAAATAGTATAGTATTAATGACTGCTTTGAGAGAAATAGTTGTTTTATTACGCTCAAGGGAAGGTTAGAATTGTGCTATTCCCCGAGGCTTGCCGAGGGGAATAGCCCAATTGTAACCTTCCCGAGAGCGTATGAAAACAACTATTTCTCGAATATTAAAGCAGTCATTAATACTTTTATATGCCGAAAAAAAATAGACTAAAAAATAAAAAATAAAAAATAATTAAAATTTTTGTCGAAGACGGGATTCGAACCCTTGCGTACAACAAGAGGAGTATCGAAAACCAACGCTTAGACCACTCGGCTATCGCGCGACGTTAACATGCTTGGCAGTTTTCTCCAATATATACATTAAAATGGATTGAAAACGGCTCCGCGTGAGGGATGCTTCGCAAAAGCTCCATGAAACGGACCCTTCTTTTACTTTTGCAATGCATATTGGCACGAACTTAGATCAAGATCTATCGGCAGATGTAAACATGTTGTTTTTTGTTTTGAGAGTTAATTTTCGTCTTCATGTCAACAATGCAAGATAAAATTGTCGGTAAGATCGATCGAGATTCAATTGTATTGAAATTGCCGACCAATTTTTCGCACACGTATGGTATCCTCCATCGCTCAAACCATTTTTTAACATGTAAACCTATGGGGTAACCATGGAGACTGACCTATTTTTTTAATAACCATGGTTATTAAAAATATTGAAATGTTTTATGCATGGTTACCGGGAATTTTACAGGAACAGTTGAAGTTTATGAATGCAATTCGACCAATCAGATGGCTGGATTTCTTAAGTGAGGTATATAATAAAACATATTTCATAAAATGGATCAACCAACTAACGATGTATCAGTTTCTCTAAGATGGGGCTTTATAGAAATTGTTTTTTCCCCCGTTTCCACTAATCTCGTACATCCTGAAACCCTTACAGATATTTTCAAGTCTGATTCTCGGAGAAAAATAAAATTTATTCTATTTCAGAAATTGTTATATTTTCTTTGCCGGGTAAGCAGATGGATAAAGGAGAAAAGAGCATCATAAAATGGATCACTCATCCCACGGTGCCAGATTATTTTCATCTTAGAAGAAGCTAAATTTACATTTTTATGACCATGAAAGACTTTTTAATAATAACAAATACTGCCCCAGGGAACGATTAGGTAAGTGGGTTAATTGATTTGATAGTTTTATGACCACTTGATGATTTATTTGACTTATGCTATCATCATTCTGAAGTCGAGTGTGAACTTGAGAGAGTTACCATTGCGATTCTGAAAAGGTAACGGGATAAGTAAGTCTGTATCGATTACGGTAAACGTCAATAGATCGTTCAGAAATACGCTCTTGACAATTTCGTGTCTCCACGTTCATTCGAGCTATCCATCAAATTAAAATACAGTAAACTAAACAGAAACGAGAGAGAAAGGTTCAACGATAATGAGGGGGAAAGGGGATGTGAAAGAGAGTGAGAGAGAGGGTAACATAGAGGTGGGGTAGTATTAAAGTAATAAAGACGAGAAGCGGATTAAGTCTCAAGCCGTATTTACCGAGAGGGATATTATATTTATGTGTAACATTAAAAGGCTGACGTAGCATCATGATGTTGTCACATCTTCACGCAAAGCCTGGCCGTTAGGACCAGAAAGGGCCAATGAAAAAGGTAACAAAATAAAGAAAGACAAATCCAAAACACTGTGTCATAAACATGTTTGAGTATACCACTTCAAACTTCCCATGAGTGCAGATAGAAAGGCGCGTAGCCACGGGGGGGGGGGGGGGGGGGACGTGCCCCCCTAAATTTCCAAGATCGGTTGCATTTTTTAGACCCCTTTTTTGACCTCGATCGATTACATGTATGTGCCCCCCCCCCCCCCCCCCCCCCAACATCAAACTCTGGCTACGCGCCTGCAGACAGAGCCCGGGCACTTGTACGTTTATTCCGTAACCATGGTCATTGCCGTGACTGCCATGGAATATAGTCACGACCAACCCCGTGTCACATAATTTCCCTAACGGGTTCTTGAGCCTTTCATGAAAGTGTGATCGTGTTATGCAGAAAGAATGTTCGTACGTCAAATGATATCATTAATTATGCATTGGAACGCGGCAGGATGTCGGTTGATGACTGGATACTAGCGCTTTGGGGTGCCAATGACCTGATGAAAAAAATTACACCGCATACCGAGATTCAAATAGAGTTTAGATTTGACGCTGTTCATATGTTGCAAGATATAATGGGCGTGGCAGGGCGCTAATTATGGACAGCGAAATGCTCTCAGTTTCCGTTCATACCTGTGGGGATCCCGCTGCGCTTCTTATACGTTCAATTAGACCATTGCAGCTGCTCTATGATCAAGACATCTCGAATCGAGTGGACAATGAACCTGACTAAAACCGAAATAACCACATGGAAACAGTGCTATCCGATACTGTATTATTTCAGCTGAAGCATCAGTTTGGATAGGTAGTGTCCGCATGGTATTGTGTAAACACATTGGGCTATTACATGAATAAAAGAACATTATAACTGAAAGCTTGGGATAGGATTGATGGCTGCGAAGGAGAATGTTGGAAGTGACCGCATGTGGTTGTTTTGGTGAAACATTAGGATAGACGATGGCGACATTTTTCACAGCCGTGTGTCGTCGTCAAGAAAATGCATCCATCAACTTAGACTGCTCCATCACGTGGGTTCGAACTCCGCACAAACTTGCCACATAAATTTAATTGCAAAACATTCATGTAATTGAACACCGAAGATGCTTTCGGCGAGTAATATAATGGTTTTATCCAACTACACTTTCCATGCATCTAAAAATAATCGTATCATGTTGTAACTAGCCCCTGGGGAAGGAATTAATCCTTAATGTCCCATGGGCATGCTAGTCACCAAAAATGTATCATCCATGTTGAAAATTAAATGTCATCGTCGAACATCCTCCCCCTGGCTTCTTTTCGTCTCATAATTTTTTGTCTCTTCATGCAGGTAAAGGATATAACATTTGCAAACCTAAAGTATAAGGTTGTTAGGATACAAGATGCCCATGTGGATGTATTTTAAGCCCCTAAAACACTTCTGCTTTCGATAAATTGAATAATCACAAATTTACCGGTGCTCCCGGTAAATTTCAAATATTTCAAATAGCGCCTAAGGCCATTCCATGGTAGCTACGACCATGAAAATCTCAGAATATGCAGTTCTGATATATAATTTCCAAACGGGAATAGCCAATCGGTCGATTGTAGTCAATAAAGATTGTTAAAGAAATATCAGTTATGAATGGGAGCTATACAACATAAAGAGTTTATTATTTACAATTTCATTACTTTAGACTCGATTTCAACCGCGACGACGATCATGCAATATTGTAAAATATGCTTCCAGTATGTTTATATGAACAAAATTCATGACTTCACACCAAAACTTTGTATTACCTTTAAGTAGTAAAATCCATGATTTTTTAACTACAGAGATACGACCTTTTGATTCTTACCATGAATTGACTTTTTGAATTTTGAATTTTTCAGTTTAAATCATTGATGTAGTATTAAACTAGTGTTCTAAGTGTTACTCTTTGCCTGAGATTATTGCCCTCAGCTGTCACTGGAAATCGGAGTCGAGTTTTCAAACCTTAAAGTACCTTAAAGATAGTTAGACGTCATACATTATTGATTAGTGACCTATCCCAAATTACAGAGGCGATCGAGGATTATTTGGTGGGGGGGGGGGGGGCAAGTTTTTGTCTTAAACGTGGGGTCAACAGAAATGGTGAGAGGAAATGTCGGTGTTACCTTTTTGCAGTTTTCGTTCCGTCGACCTCTTTTTCTTAAACTTTCTTTAGGCGATCCGGAAATGTAGACACTTTGTTGACTGGTTTTTAGGAAGGTCATTAAAGATATCTTTTATTTATACCTCGTCGAGAAACGTTTCTGTTACATCAAAACAATCTCTGAAGTCTCGACACTCCTGAGGTAAGTAACATGACGTTTTATCATATGACTTTATTCGAGTGTCGGATCAGTTACGTAACGGTTTAACGTAGGAGGAAACGGTACAAGGTCTGTGAAACATAATACCAGTTAATGTATCATCCAAATTGTATCGTGGGTTTGTAGAACCGGTTGTAAAAGAATATCAGGTTTTTCTTTCCCAAGCTCTTTTATCGTCGTGTTTTCTTTCGAACTTTCACTAAGCGAAGGACAGTTCTTTTATACGAATCAAATCTACCGAGGCAAAGAGAAAATGTGATTTGATCCCGTGGTCGGATTTTTGGTTTACCTCTTTACAAAGACACGTGTTTCATACAGCGTCGGGGTCCCCGGGTTCCATGACAAAAACCACAACAACAAAGAAACAAAACCCTGTAACAACAGTTATATTTGTCACAGTCAATATAGCGTCACTAACAAAAAAATAGTTTAATTACCGCTCTGCATATTATTGTCAAATCGAGGCTCCCCCAAACCAATCAAACCACATCCAACCAACCGCATAAAAAACACCAGCCTCACCATCCACGATAACATTCACAATCAATCAGTTTCATCAGTGATTTATCATGGTTCTTGCATCATGTTAACCCTATGTCCTACTGACCCGACACTCTACTTTGGTCACACGCCCCAAGGGTCGTATGTGTCATGTGTCTCCCATTGCATTAGTCTTATGCCCTAGTAATCATCGCCCACTAATATCACGGCATCAACACAAACGCAAAATTTAACTCTAACCATTACGGTAATAGCTTGAGTAGTGAAAGTAGGAACAAAAACGCTAAACAGTACGACGGCATAGCATTATGTTTATTTGACATACGACTATAGAGACGTCACCACCGTCGTTAAACCACCAATGCCTAGGACCATGGATCTACTGAGAACCTGGCCTAAGGACCTGAGCGTGGACCTACTTCTTCGGAGGTCCATGCTAGAACTCACCCCTGAGGCTCTTGACTGCGACTGGTACGTACTTCTCCTTCCCGTCAATCCCATAAGCGAAACCTTTGTAGACCGTGCCGAACTGGCCACTGCCAAGGATCTCCTCAATCTTGAGCAGGGATCGGTCGAACTCCATCTTCTCAAAGACTGGTTCTACTTCCGGGTCAAGACCCTGAGAGACATTGTAGGTATCTAGAGGAAATCAAAATAGGAAGCAAGGAATAAATGGGTGACCATACGCTTTGCTTTCTACTTTTTGGATACTTTGATTTCTGATTGAATTAGTTATCTTTCTTGTTACACGAAAGGGAATAAAGACTCATCAAGTGTCGTTCCAGACGAGTACTGAGATGATGTTGATGCCTTCAATCCACATTAAGTTTGGATGATCACTTAAGGTAATCCGAGTGCAGATAGTGTGAAAGAGTTTTATTCAAAAGAAAGAAGGGAAAGAAAAGAGAGAGAGAGAGAGAGAGGGGGGGAGGGAGAGGGAGGGAGAGAGAGAGAGAGAGAGAGAGAGAGAGAGACGGAGACGGAGACGGAATAAGACATAGAATATATCAATCAACAGTACATAATGGTTCAGCACACGACGTGGCAGCACATCACATAGTAGTGAATTATCCACAAAAGTAAAGTTCCACAAAAGGTAATAAATATATGAGCTTAAAACAAGCCTGCAGCTCATACAGTGAAAATATGGCACTGAGTGTGATCCAAATAAGTAATTGGTAAATAGCTAAATATCAAGGTGAGATTATGGTCATTATAAAGACTAATGGAAAAAGGCAACAATACAGAATGGAAATGAGATGAGAGCTTAATTAGAGAAGATGGAGAAAGATAAAATAAACAAACCTTTCTTGATGGAACACGAGTAAGTGGTGCTGATTTCATCCGGGTACCTGACAAATACAGCCTTCTCATTGGATGAGAGACGACGTCTGTTTAAGTACGTGAAGGAACCGACGACCACGATAAGCACGAGGGTCGCACCTAGAACCCCAGCCAAGAGGGCGGGCTCCACCCTGATCCTGTTTGGTTTGATGGAGGGTGCGCCAGTTAGCGATGGTACCAGAGACGATGAGACACTGCAGGGTCGCTCTGAGGATCGGCAAAGGTTGGTGTAGGTATCAAAGAGAGAGAAAGACATTTTAATCTTGAGGTCGATGTATGTATCTATAGTCACATTGTTTCCATAATTCGGAATATGAGCAAATACACGACAACTGATCGACAACCAGTTGCTACTATATTGAGGAACTGTAATGATACCAAGAAGAACACTTCGGAAAGTTTTCAGATTAAACTAAACAAATATACTTTCCATGTCTATAAGCCTGTACAAGGTGGCGATGATGCAATAACAAGGACAGGTTAAAGGTCAATAGTTCAAGCAAGAAAATGACAAGATCGGAATTGATTGAAGATTTAAAAAAAAAAGATGTACTCACCTTGAGAAGCTGTGTCAAAGATGATCTCTGCAACGTACGGTGACGACCTAGAGATCCTCCCATCAAGCCAGGGCACTACCTAGAAATGTATATATATATATTTTTTTTTTCTTTTTTCTTTTTTTCTTTAACATTTTAGCCCTCCATAGGCTATTTTATTGAGTCAAACAAAACATTTTACAATACCATGAAATGAAGTCTTTCTTTAACTCAAATATAACAAAATACTTTGTTAGGGTGTACATGTGAGAAAAGCTTCAAGATCAAAGTTTTACATTTTGGGGGCGTCTATACAGAAACCATCAGGTTGTGATGATCGTTATCTGTGGACGGTCTTGGAGTTCTTAGAGAGATTCATTCACCTCCGAACAAGTAGGAGGAACCCTGGCATCCACCCCTGACAAAATAACCTAAACAATCTACTTTCTAGACTACTACCCCTTCCCCTGTTCTCACGTACTAGTATTACAAAAGGGATAGTCATCCGGGTGTGCTATTATTGGAGGAACCCCACTACCTAGATTAGGCTTAGCATACCGAAAGATTCGTCAAGATAAAGTCGTACTAAAAGATTAGATTACATTTATCGTTTGTTTCGGACACCATACTTCATTCTTTAAGCTAACAAAAGTGACATAAAATGAAAAAGGAGAATTAAAAAACAAAGTTAAACTGCAGCTTTGTCATTATATTTTGAACAAGCATAGCAATGAAACAAACACAGAAGAAGGCAAAGAAGGAGAAGAAAAAAAGAGGATAAAGAAGAAGAAGAAAGAAAGAAAGAAATAAGGAAAACATTACAACACTTTTTAGATGATTCAATTAAAGTGGTGAGGTCTCGTGATTGTTCACTTACCGATATATCATAGATCACTCCATAAACAAGATCTGTTATCGTGTAATTGAAACGAAAAGAGAGACTCTCATTCCATTCGTTCTGTAGAGAGATAGAGAGAGAGAGAGGGGGGGGGGGAGAGAGAGATAATTACATTAGGAAAACACATTAAAAACAAATACTTTGTATTCTACAGATCATTAAGTAATCAATGCGATAATCTTTTTTTTTTGCATCGTTGCTGATTGCTTTAAATAGGAAAGAAAACTGTAATTTATATGTAGGAAAATGGAGATAGTTTCTATAAAAACCTTTTTTTTAAAAATAATGGTCTATATCCAAAACTTATATGATTCAAATTTTTGGGAAATTCATAACTAAATTATAACCGCAGATGAAACTAGAGAAGAAACTAGAGAAATTGTAACCGCAGATGAAACTAGAGAAATATTAACCGTTATAATATTTCTTATAGAAGATTTGATTTTGTAACATTAGCCTATGAAATGTGGTTTAATTCATTGAATAAGTGTGACAAATTATTAGTGAAGAGGGTGGTGTTGCGGTAAATTTGATGGATTAAATAGCTTTTTAGCGGTTGAATTTCATTCTTTACGTCTAAAGTTAGAATGTATTGCATGATGGATCCTACTATAATATAATGGATCTCAAGATTGAAACATAATTCAACAAGATAAAATTTCATCATTTTCTTTGAATGTATTTTACATGTATTGCTTGGTCATATTGGTAAAGTTTTTTTTTTAATGACGTTATGGAAAACTTTTGAAATCAATAACAAAGCCGTAACTTTTCAATGTGGACAATTCATAGCTATGAAGATAGAAATTACATTTCGTAAAAAATGTGTAACAGGGGAACAATAATATTGTAACTAATTCATTTAAAAATACTAAAATATAGCAGTAGACAAATCTATTTAATTTATTAGAAAACCTTCATCCCAGAAGAGCAGCAATTTATTTATTAAATTTGCGTTCTGACAATTGTAGTACAAATGATAATAGCATAATCACACACACCTGGGAATGAAGCATCCGTAAATTTGATTATGTTTACTTGATAAACGACTTCATAAAGGACGTCACGTTATCAAGAAAAATTGCGATGCCCATGTCGTGTTGAGAAACTGTTCATTATTCTTGCTCTATGCCACTCTCATACACTTTTGTGGGAAATCTTGTAGATTTATGGGCAAGAATATAGTAAATCTCTCAGAATAAGTTAAGTTATTTCTTGGGGTGAGGTTTCCCTTACTGAAAATGTACCATTTTATAATGTCTCTTTCTGTTTAGATATACATGTATGTCAATTTATAAAACTGTACACATAGTCCTCGGACTAGGCCTACAGCCTTGACACATTTTAATGCTCATTAGAATAAAAATCACAGTTTTACTTTTTCTCAAATTTTCACTGATTTGTTTGTTTTAAAGCTTTATTTATTTAAATACACTTTGATTTTCATTTATGATTTCTTCATAAGTTTCAAGTTTAACTAATTGAACGAGGACGATGATCAGACTTACATGGTCAATATCCACCTTCCTGATTGATTGAACTGATCGAACAATACTGGTCTCGTTGACGGGTTCATAGGTCACCCTGAAGCATGAGAGATTACCGTTGATCTGTAGAGGAGGCAACCAGCTCAGTGATACCACTGATACATTGTTATCGTGATCCACCTCTGAGCAGTCGATCGCCAGGTCACGTGGTTTGCTGGTAAACTCGACGGCTGTTGGGTACAAGTCACGTGATAGTTATTATAGATTTGTAGTTTTTGATAGGGCGACACATGATGGGACACGCGATTGCTTCTTATTAAGCTATGACGTATCTTTGTTAATGTTTTCATGTTAGGTTTACATTTTTTATTTTATTGGTGTTAAAAAATGTCTTTCAACCATTGCGAAAGGCCAAAGGCGTTGCAATTTAATGAGGAAAACGACTAAACGTCCTTCCTCTATGGACAACAAATAAATTTATCATGGTAATATTCAAAGCTGAACATTACAAACGCTTGAGAAAAAATGCGCAATAGAATATTTCGGAAAAACGACGGTTTATTTGTAAATTCTCACGGCTGAATAGAAGTCCGATATCTCTTTTTATAAATTAAACAAAGTAATTTTCATTTACTTACGTTGGTCGATGCAAAATTCTTCATCTCCAGTTTCTTCAAAGCAATCTACATGGGAAAAACACGAAAAGATAAAGAAATAGTGCAATGCAAAGGGAGAGGATACATCAATAAAAATTCGAAAAAATATTGCTGGTGAAGCCTATATCTAGTATATTTATACAGGAAGTTTATCTTAATAATCACTTTCGATTTGATCAAATTCGAGTTTTATGTGCTTTCTTCTTATTATCATTTTCTTATTCTTCTTTATTTCTTTCTTATTTTTCTTCAACTCCTTTTGTCTTCTTTTCCACTTCCTATTCGTCCCCCTTTCCCTTTCCACTCTCTCTCTCTTGTAAGTTTTCTTTTTCTTTGTATTTCATCTCCTTCCTTTGTCACCTCCCTTTATCCTCTCCCCCTTCTTCATTTCTTCTCCTAGTCCATCTCCCATCTCTTGGGAGTGTCGTGGTCGAGTGGTTTAAGGCGCTTGACTGTAGATGCGAAGGTCGAGGGTTCGAATCCCGACACGGCACTAATATCCTTTGGCAAGATATTTACCTGCATTTGCTACTCTCCACCCAGGTGTTAAATGGGTACCCGGTAGGATGCGAACGTTCATGTGGTTGGACGAGCAAGTGTGCGCTTGTAAAATGGCGACTGGCTGGAATGCTCCCCAGGGAGTGGAAAATGTGCACACATTGTGTGCGGGTAAGCCTGAATCCGATGACCGGGGTAATAATATATCTGTAAAGCGCTTAGGCACATCGTTGGATCGGTGTATTGAGCGCTATATAAAAAAACGGATTATTATTATTATTATTAACTTACCTGGTGTTAATATGTCCTCTCTTCGAATCTTCACCCCGGTATTATATGTTGTAATGTTAGCTGTCCGTATCTAGTAAAGTCACAATAAAACAAAAACAAGTTATGGAATTTTCATCTTGAAAATATCACTGACTGACTGACATGAGCGCTATACAAGAACCCACTATTATTATTATTATTATTATTGATAATATAACAAAATTACCATGAAATTCTAGAAGCTGATGATAATTCAATAGATAGTAGTCATGATACTCCCTAGTCGATATTCGAGAATGCGAAAAGAAATTGTGAAAATATAGTTTAAAAATGCCTTTTCATAATTTTTATTCAAATTATTGTTCAAATTATTATCTATCGAGTAGATAAATAATATAAGAAAAAAGTTATTGATTTTTTTTACTATGAAAATATCACATAACATTGCTAATGTGTAACAAACAAAATAACCATGAAATTTCAAAAGATGAAGTTATGATAATTCAATAGATAGTAGACATGATACTCCCTAGTCGATATTCGAGAATGCGAAAAGAAATTGTGAAAATATAGTTTTAAAATGCCTTTTCATAATTTGTATTCAAATTATTGTTCAAATTGTTATCTATCTAGTAAATGCATGACAATAGGAAAAATCAAGCTATGGAATTTTCTCCTTGAAGATATCACATAACATTGCTAATGTAACTAACAAAAATGACCTTGACATTTCAAAAGCTATGATATGATGATAATTCAATAGATAGTAGACATAATACTCTCCAGTCGATATTCGAGAATGCAATAACAAATTGCGAAAAGATTTTTAAAAAATTTAAAAAAATGCCTTTTCATATTGTTCAAATTATTTTTCAAATTATCTATTTAGTAGATGCATAATAAAAGGAAAAATCAAGTAATGGAATTTTCTCCTTAAAAAAAATATCACATTACATTGCTAATGTAACAAACAAAATGACCATGACATTTCAAAAGCTGATGTGACAATAATTCAATAGATTGTAGACATAATACTCTCCAGTCGATCTTCGAGAATCCGATAAAAGGTTGCGAGTAAGAAAATGCCTTTTCATATTGTTCAAATTATTGTAGATTATGATCTTACCCGAAATTGGTGATTGAATCCATAACTGAGGTTCTGGAATCTGAATGACTGGGTAGACTGCGCGGAAATAAATAAAAGATACAGTAGTAACAGGTTAATTTTTTTAAAGATTTAAAACTAACTCGAGGACGCACCTGTGTATTTCGGTTTCTAAATATATTCATGATCACGGCAAAGTAAAGTGAGCAAAAATACATATCAACTGGTCATGATTTAGTATAATTGCTGTATGGAAGGAGTGCTATCATTTTGCAATACAAAAAGGGAAGACTTTTGAAATTACTAAATAATAGACATTAAGGTTTACCCTCAATGAGACTCTTTTATTGTGAGAAGTTAAACAGATGACCGATCACATTTTGACCTCTAAAAGAAAGACATACCTGTATGCAATCGTTGACAATGTCGTTCTCCATTTGTTAAGTGCAACTCTATCATTTAGAAAAAAAACCAAAGCTATAACTTGCATGCACGATGGAATAAACATTACGTTGAAATCCGTATCTAGACAAAAAAAATGCAACGCAAGTGAATAAGAACTTTCCTAACTGCTTTAAGTGTATTTCACCTAAACGAGGTGTAAGGTCTTTATAATGGCTCTTTGTCAGTCACACCGTGGACAAATAACAATAAAAAAAAATGCAATTTCCTGATTTAAAAAATTGCATTCATGGACCATTACTGTTACTTATACAATGATGTACTCGGTAGCCTGAAGGGCAATCACGGCTTTCCTCTTCCCTGCATTTTTTCCATCACCCCAACTCCAAAAGATGGTGACAATTTTATGAATATCACACCAACGCTTTATAGCTAACACGGTCTTTCATTATCTACCATTTAATAGTATGCTCCATCTCAACCCCGCATCACCCGCCCCCGAATCTTCAACCGAGAGCGCGTATCCATGACAACGGTCTACTTCAACATCAGTCTCAATGAACGAAGTGAAAAGAACATCGGTTATCAATGCGGAGCACGTTCTCTCCGTTTCTCCCCTGTGTACATTCGATCTCATGACTGCGGTGTATTTTGCAATCGAATGAGACGGTATTGTCACTATTCCATCGCCTTGAAAAGTGCAGTGTCGATGATGGTTTCGAAATGGAGAAAAGTGCAGATTTCCCCCAGTGTCTTTCAGCCATGCTAGGCCTTTCCAACAGGTCAGATGAAGAAACGGATGAATCGTATTTTCTGTCAAGTCGATAGGAGCTTAACATGCAAGATGTACCCTGACATGATCATGGTAATCATCTCATGAGGGTTCTTTTTAACCTTGGAGTCAAAACCATATCATAGAAAGTACATGGTATCGATGTCCTTGGGGTCATTGAAGTATCCATGGGAAAATATGGGAAAAAGCAGCAAATTGTATTTTCAAAGATTTATTCAAATTTATCAGTGAAACTTTGAATCAGAATGCAAAGTGATAATCAAAAGCAATTGATCGATCATTATTTTGTTGGTTTTGTTGATAAAGAACAAAAAATTGATCCACTCCATTTACAGGCTAATTTTGAGAACATTATCAATTCACTTTTTGTTTACATACTTTCATTTCAATTAAGCCTAATGTGCCTACATTTCTATTCTGATCTTTTTCTTTATTCTATGTTTTTAAAAAAAGCGTCCGGGTCACCTCATAGCTTGAGTTCATTTCCCCCTCAAATTCATGAATCCCCTCGAGTTAAATCTCCCGATAAAATACATTTAGATCCCTGAGTTACCTTGATAGATCCTTGTAAAAGCAAGATAATCAAGAAGAAGATTTCCTTGATTTCAACTGATAGACATGCACTTTTCCTCTCTCTCTCTCTCTCTCTCTCTCTCTCTCTCTCTCTCTCTCTTATGCTTTTTATTGTTATATTTTCCTCCGATAAACTTCGGGAGGCTCTTTGAATGGCAAAGCCACTGTCTTACTCTCATGAACGGAGCCAGAAAACGGATAGCATACAATTAATAAAGAACATCAAGTGAGAAATACAAAAGACAAAGAACGCAACATGCTGTGACATCGTGGTATAATAAAACTGACGACTGCAGGGAGACAAATACTCCACATCCTAATTGGCGCTATAAGAATGATGTCAATTTACGGAAGGTGGGTTGAAAGGGATGAGGGGGTATATATATCATTCTAGAAGACAAGTCTACACTGAAGAAGCAGGGTAGACGGTAAAGCGTGTTTAGAAATATTAGAGAGAGAGAGAGAGGGGGTAGATGGGGAGAGGGTGAAAGAGAGAGAGAGAGAGAGAGAGAGAGAAAGAGAGAGATAGAGACAGAGAGAGACAGTTAGAGTGACGAGAGAAGAGACCTAGAGAGTCAAAAAAGAGAGAGAGAGAGAGAGAGAGAAACAGACATACAGAGAGAAAGAGAGAAAAAGGGAGAAGGAGAGAGAGAGAAAGATATATATATATATATATATATAGAGAGAGAGAGAGAGAGAGAGAGAGAGAGAGAGAGAGAGAGAGACAGAGACAGAGACAAAGAGATAGAGAGAGGGGAGGGAAGAAGTGAGACATAAACGGAAAGAGATATATTTCAAGGGAGAGTGAGATAAATAACTGATGGATTAGATAGGGGTGACGGGGGAGTACCCTAAAACAAGGTTAAGAACAGTTCGTGAAGGGTGCCATTAATAAATCTTCCAAGTTTTCGTTGATGGTTGTTGACAGAGAAGTGATTTATTAAAGGCAATTATAGACGTAATTATAAAGTGGTTTCATGACGCGCATCATACCATGGATCTACTTCTTTATTTGTTTATACAGTCATAAACGGCGCAATAAAATAGGTCATCGCTTCAATTAGGTATGTCGCCCTCAAACAAGTGGCCCTGCCTCCGATGTCTTCAATCACCCCGGTTCGCAAACTAAGACAGCTTGTTATGTATGGTTTCCATTCCACTCCCGAAAGCTTCATTTTGTGAAAATAATTCCGTATTCGATTGGAGATTCTCTCGGATGACGAACCAAATTGGAGGAGTATTTTGAATCGTCAATGTTGCGACGTCTGGGAATGATGGATGCCACGCCGACAGAAGTTTTAAATCTCCGGAACCTTGCCTATCGCCATCCCTCTTAAGGCTCCGGAGGATATTCGAATCCAAGGAGAAAAGGTTCCCCACCTCTTATTTATTTCTCTCTCCTTCCTTTTCCTTCTCCTTGTTTTTTTTTTTTTTCTTTCCCTCTCACTTCTTTTCCTTGCCTCCTAGCTCTCTTTCGCGCACGCGCTTTCACTTCTTCCGACTTTCTCACTTTCGTTACGCCTCTTTTGTTCTCAATGCCCCCCTCTCTCTTTATTCCTCTTTCCCTCTCTCTTTCTCTCTCTCTCTCTCTCTCTCTCTCTTTCTCTCTCGCTCTATGTATATCTATTTCTCACTCATCCTCGCCCTAATCCTATTTCTCCTCCTCTGTCTACCCTCTTCTCTCGAGATTATAAATGAACGTAACGTTTCCGATTTTATTCACTTTCCGCCACTTTCTAAATAGGTTAAGTGACACCTACGGTGCAACATGTCAGGCGAAATCTTATTTTACTCTTTAAAAGTTTTCTTCCTCTGCGGCGGGGCGATAGGAAAGGGAGTGAAAAATGATCTATTTAATCTGGCCGCTTGAGAAAGTAGCATTATTTTGCCCTCCATTCTTTTTCTCTTTTTTTTTTAACTTCCGTCATCATGTATATCTACGGTAGATGATAAGTTACTTTTTCAATGGGAAAACGGGAAAATTCTAAACTATAAAAAACTTCAAAATAGATTTCTCATTATCGTAAGAAATGCCATTGCTGCCATGGTTCATATTTTCAACAACAAAAGTCCACAACGCACACACACGTACGCATACACATACATGTACGTGATGACTTGAAAATTCCATTTCATATATATATAAATATATATATATATAAATGAATTGAATAGGGTTAATATATCTGAAATATATTTGAAATTATTGATCTAGATATGCTATCTTTTGTTACGTCCAGAATTTATATAATTCTTAATGAAAAGGAAACATTAATTCAACCCTATTATTTCTTGGAGGCGCGATAGCTCAGTTGGTAGAGCAGTGGTCTTGTAATCCGGTGACCCGAATTCGAAACCAAAGTGATGCGCTAGTGCCCTTTGGTAAGGCATTAATCCTCATTACCAGGTCCCTCGGAGAGGACCTAAAGTCGTCGGCCGTCTGGTTGCTTACTGACAATGCTTTCTTAGCAGTCAGGTAAAATAACCACCACCACAAAAAAATATTTCACTACACCTTTGAATCATTTTCTTTCAAACAAGAGAGGAGCATATTTTAACAAAGCCAATCACAAAATAAACTATTTTTACAACTATGTTTGAAGTGTCAAATAGTACATCCTTAAACCCCATCAATGAGATACCGAACCCAACTCACCGTATATTGATAATCAGCAAAATGTTTAACGCATTTGAACTCCAACTTGTCCCGGACGCCATTTTTCACCAATCGAACTGCGTATCCCGATACTCGATCAAAGTCTGCCAATCCTGTTGGATGACGTTAAAAAAAAGAGGAAGATGGAAACAATAAGAGGCAATAACTTCAATTGATACTTTCAAAGTATAAATCTTTGGAATAAAGTCATCATTATCAAAAGCAAAACTTACACCTCAGACTCGTAACTTCCTTTCTTAAACCCTAAACCCAATTTCAAATAAAACCCTTAACCCAGTGTCGGGGATTTATTCATTAGAAAACGGGGTTGCATACGGGCAATCACAATCATTAACATATATTTCAGATTAGCAACGAAGAGATATATGTACACAAAATTTGGAACCCTGACCCTTATCCGCCCTCGACCCACCAATTCCATCTTCAATTATTTAATTAATGAAAAGATTCCTAAAAATTACTTACTTGATGAGTTGAAATTTGTCCAGTCTACCAGAGCTTCAAGTTGATATGTTCCTTCTCTGTCTCCCGGTTGACCACTGGTGATATTTCTCGTTCGATACGTGATATTGAATGTAACATCGGACGGTACTCGAGCTGTGAAATTAAAGAAGAGTTACAGAAAACGTTAAAAAATTGTTTAAGTTAATGTCAATAACAATACTTTAATAAAGGATGTAATGTGTATAGTTCTCGTTAAACACGATTCGTCATCTACATTGCGTTATTACCTGCGCCAGTCGAGCCTGATGTTGTTGGATTTTTATGGCGTTTACCATTGTCGTTGGATGATTTTCGCCAGCAATTGCACTACACACAAGCTAGTAATAAGCATTGTTTGCAAGTTGATAATATTTGCACTGTCACGTGGTGCGTCACGGGCCGCCGCAGTCACTGACGCCCTCATACGTTAGGTAAAAAAAAAAACGCCTCGTGTATACAAGGCACACGTTTTCGAGCGCATTTTTAATGACGCAAGGCGTTATAACTGTATCCTATTGGGTTCACTAGGTACCACGGACACACTGTGACGTCACCAAATTGACACCAATGAGGAAAGAAACAAGGGCGAGGGGGGGGGGGGCGAGAACAAGAAAAGGAGGTAAGGGAAGGAACGTGAGCAGTAGGTGATAATATCCCGTCCCACCCCCCCCCCCTCCCGCTCCCGATTGATAATCTTTTGAATTCGAAATTCAGGCAGCCATAAGGGCTACTTCGAGATGATTGCAGCGTGCCCTTAATATCTGCTCCAAAGCTGTGCCACCGGAGCGAGATTTTTCCCCTTTTTATCATCATCTAAATTAGGGGATCTGAGAAGCTCTCGTATAATTATTAGCTTGCAGTTTTTCAATCAAGTTCGCCGATACACGTACGGATAAACCCATGGCTTATGCTCCAACCTAAAGTGAGCGTAATGGAAGTATTTAGTTTAAATGTATCGAGGGTCATATAAACGAGGGCAACTGTAATTTGGATGCATTTCAGCGTTGGAGGAGGTGCCGATGGGGAGGGAGTATTAGATAGCTGATCGATAGGTAGGTAGATAGATGAATAGTTAGAGAAATTGATAGATTGATACAGAGATACATAGATAGGAGAGACAAGAGGGGAAGAGTGAGAGAGAGAGAGAGAGAGAGAGAGAAGAGAGAGAGAGAGAGAGAGAAACAGAGAGAGAGAGAGAGAGACAGAGAGTGAGAGAGAGAGAGAGAGAGAGAGAGAGAAAGAGATGGACAATATCAAATAGAACAAAGAGAAACACGAAAAATGGCTCAGAGGAAAGAAAGAGAAAACTGAACAAGAAGTTGAAAAAGAAAATGGGGAAGATCTGAGAGGAGATACAAATCAAAGATTTAGGAAAGAGATGAAAAAATGAATAGAGCAAAGAGATCATCGTCTACAGAAATACTGCATCGAGGAATTGTTATTTGTTTAAAGAAATAATAAAATGCAAATGAAGATTTTTTTTTTGGAAAAAGGGGATGGGTATAAGAGGATCATTAAGAGAAGAGGAAAGAGGGATTGAAGGAGAGGAATATGTTCGGGTCCCCTTTTTATAATAACCATTTAAGATATCTTATCAAAATAACTACCTCCGGACAACTAAAGAATTAGCCCAATTAATCTCAGACTGCAACCCACGAGTAATTGAATTTAACAGGATAGCTATCCTGGCGTTATTCTCTAAGGGGGCAGTTGTCCGAAGACATAATCTAGAGGGTAATTGGCCTCGAGTCGTAAGATTTCACATTCAATAAAGTCTATTAACTTTATAGTGTTACCTCGAGACGAAGGGAATAAACTACCACGCTGATTATAGCAAGAGGATTCACAGTTTGAAGAAACTCCAAGAAACCTTCATCCTATGTTAACTATTTTAGGTGATAAATAACGAGATGCTTCCAATTATAATCTAATGTGAATGTTTTTTCCCCTGCTTAGACGTCAGATGTAAGCTAAACCATATCAGATCATTTTCATCGCTGACAATAATTTGAATAAACTTTAATATTGCAGTGCGACAGCCTTTATAAGGTATCCCTTTTCTAAATTTTTCAGAAATCGTTGATAGTACATCTGGCACGTTTAACAAGTTCGTTTCGATTTTCCTTCCAATACTCATCATTCAAGAAGGCTTAATGTAATGGAGCTCTCACACTCTGCCGTGTAGGCCTACCGTCCACCTGCCGGGCTATTAAAAAAACAACAGAGTCCAGAACGTTGGGTTTTGAGCGAACTTGTCCCCGGCCGCAAAAACAAAAATCATAAAATTAATCTTTTCACCGTTTCGTTGCCATCTTCTGACCGTTCTCACCGGGCGCATACCGGGTGTTGAACGTGCTTCTACCGTCTTCACCGCCCAGATTGACTTTTGTTGAAAATTTTGGCCGTTTCCATACCGGGCCCATACCGGGTCTCGAACGTGTGCACCGGGTTTGTAGCAGCCACCTACCAGTCACTTAGCGTCCCCTCACCGCTCGGAGCGTCCTGTGAGCGAGTCCCCGGACTGCTGACGTCATGACACGACTGCCATAAATACCCAACGGCAACGGTCAGTCCGCTCTCCATTTTTCATCACCGTTCTGTAACGGGTTATGAGCGTGTTGTGAACGTGTTCATACAGTGTGACCGTTTTCATAACATATTCATACCGTCCTCATACCGTTCAACACCGACCTCTTGCCGCTTACTTGCGGCCGGTGCCAGCCGGCCAAAGTTTTGAACATGCCCAAAACTTTCGCCGGGTCCCACCGGGTGTAAAAAAGCGCCAACGCCCTATTAACGTGTTGCCCGCTTTGATAACGAACTACCGTGTGCCCTCGCCGTTCTCCACCGTCCGCAGACATTTTCGCGCACGGTGGCACACGGTAGGCCTACACGACAGAGTGTGAGAGTCACTTAACGTTCTGCTTTCTGTCCTGGTAAAACGTCTATCCATCTAAGCATAGAAAACATTCAATTCAATTGTAGCAAGACACTATAAAATGCATACGACCGTTTTTTTCATTGACATTGAGATCGAATTAAATGATGAACTTCAACAATGTAAATTTCTTCCTGATCGAAGTCTGGAATGTCGATACGAATAGTATAACCAGTCAGAGAGAATTAGCGACGTCACACCATGACGCCACCGGCTCTATCTGAGCCGACTGGAATGTTTAAAAAACCTCTTCATTGTGTTTATATACAACTCCTTAAAGGCCATCCTACACTTCAATCAACTTGAAAGGGAATCATTTATAAACCTTACTGCAATTTCTTTAGAAATAAAAAACAAAACAGTCGTGCAAGGTCGTAGGATGCGGAGTTGGCTGTAACATTAATGAAACACTTACGCAGGTCACATAAGTCTAACATGAGTACCGTTGTAGCCATTAGCAACACGAGAGGGGGCAAGAGAGGTAGGTGTAATGACGTCATCCTGATCTATGCCGTATCTATTCCGGTAGTTCTTCACTCTGCATTCATTCCGTGTTCGTTCTAGTACTTATGCTGGAGACTAGAGAAAATGAGAAAGAAAATTACATCTTAAAGTGATTGAAATTCCAAGATGAATCAATTGTATAGAAGTATTTGCGCGTCTTTTCAATAATTGGAAGTATCAAAATGAAGAGCTTCATTAATCAGAAGTGTCATTACTATGCCTCTTCAATTACACATCTTGTATCTGAACAAACAGATTGCCATTTGTTGCACAAGACCCGCAAGATTATACATTTTACAGTTTTACAGCCAATTTGTATTATTCCGAGTTATTTCACGAGCCCATTACAAATTAAGCCCAAAGGCAACTTTTCAGTCATTTCTTCTTTTTTCTTTTTAAAAATATGCTATCTATCTATCAACTATTCGTTGAACTACGTTCACTTTCAATGCAAAAGTGCAAACACTACGATTGGTCAATATTTCCTCCCCCCTCTCTTTTTTAAAACTTTATTCCTTTCGCGCATTTTTTGCCCGTCATAGTCAGAGTAGATTTCTTTACAAGCGTCAGATCGATTTACATCAATCTTCCAAACACGACGACCTCTTTCTGTCTCTGCTTTCCTTCTCTCACCAATCGAATGCCTATATACACTGTTGCAAAGTTTAGATTTGCGCCAACCGAAATGGATCACTCTTGATATCTGATACACGTGTCACACCATCACGTCACGATAGTGATCGATCAAACAGGAAGTGTGACGTCACAATCGATAACTTGCAATCATATTTTTGCGGTCCCTTCAACTTTAATTCAACGTCAAAAAAGTAAATTGTCGAATGGCATATTGATCGTTATGTTAACAAGCCAAGAGCAAGCCGTCAATCGATATTAATTGCGTACGTTTTGCAGTGTCTGTATGTGAAACCATACGGTGATGCGACGTAATCTAATGCACCTTGCGGCTACCCTGACGTAGGACTGCGTCTACCCTGACGTAGGAGTGTGTCAGCGACTGGCTTGGCCTATGACGCACCATGTAAGGTTGACATCATAAATAAAGAGTGATTGCGAAATGAATTGTTAAACATCTTTAATAACTGTGGCATTGGCTTATTGCCTTCACAATCATGTAGGCTCGCATGTCATTTAGCGCAATAGAAATGACGTCTCATGTGCAACAGGCGTAGGACTGAATGGAGTTATCTGACGGAAAGCTATACGCTTTCGTCCTCATCACACAGAAGTTGCAAAATAACCCGCTATTGTAACTAGCCCGATCTTAAATTAGCCGGCTAATTTGCATCTTCATCAGCCCGCAGTTGCAATTAGCCGGCTATTCGGTCGAGACAAAATCCCGAGAAATTTTGGTCTTGTTTCCAAAATAGCCCGCTATTTGGGGGAAAACCGGGCTAATTTGCACCCGTCCGATCTAGTTTGTGTCTGGTGAAGACGCAATATCGAGCTTCGGGAAAATATCCCGAGTCTCAGAATAGCGGATTATTTCGCAACTTCGGTCTGATGAAGAACAACAGGGATGAATGTAGTCAACGGTCAGACGAGGGATCGTTTTCCCTGGATTCCCATCCCGGACAACTACCACAAAGGAAAATAACTGCAGGAGAGGAACGTTTCTTCGGAAAACTACTCCTAGGACAATAACCCCAACGATTATCCCTAGAATTATTATATCCCTTAATTTCCGGGACAACTATTCTCATGAAAATGACCTATCACAGTGACTGTATGAGGGGTAATACATTTATTTAATTATCGTAAGTGTAGATATCTGGAGTACATGTGCATTTGACAAGAGATAAATGTCCGACAGTAGTCCACGCAGCTATTCTCTCTCTCTCTCTCTCTTTCTCTCTCATTACACAAAATGATATATAGGTCAAAATGTTTTTTCTCCGCCAGGCTCTAACTGTTATTTTTAACTATTTCCCCGACCATCAAAAAGGTGCAAAAACCGACGAATCGATAATATGAGGTTTGTACAAATACAGCGGTAACACGCCTAAAAAATCTAAATAGAATATTTGATATATACCCTTACAAAAATCGTCGATTTGTAAAGGGTATCAAAACGTATGCTACAATTAGTCAGGTGTAGTTAACATCACCACAAATCAGAAATATCGACCGCAGTCAAGAAAGCCTCTAGGAACGTTTGCAACAGAAAGTTTGGGGTTGAACATTATACCAAGAGTGCTGATCGTGCTAAAACAACATTTTGTGAGGTGAAAACAACAAGACAAAGATAAATGACTACAGGACATCTTGTCCAAAGAAACATAACGTTTATTAAGTGATAAAATAAAAGCTTTTAGCGGAAGAAACGAATTCGGAAATAAGGTGCTTCCACCGACTATAAGGTAGATTATGTAGCTCTGTTCCCCCTCTTATCCCTGCCAACGCCTTATCATCCATCTTTTCCTCTCCAGCTCCCTGCCTCTCTCCCCGCCCCCTCCACTCCAACTCTGTTTCCCCTCCCACTCCACTCCCACTCCCCGAAAAAAACGGCAATATTCGGTACCTCACTCAAAAACTTGCATTTTCTTTCGCCGGAGAGAAGAAAAACAAAAAAATGTCTATATATCGAACCAAATCGTCTGGTCAGCAGCTGCCCTGTTAAGCATACAGGCCTAAATAGATAAACTGACCATAAACATGACGTAGACATCACGTCTTCAATTTGCCCCCATTTTTTCTTGAAGAACTTACACCGATTTACTGTTCAATCTCGGTTGTAGACGAAGTGTTATTACGATTGCGCTATTACCTGCGCTAATCCAGCTAATGACGACATTGAGCCCACACGCGAGTATTTCACAGCAATATTGGCGTGTGTGTGTATTGGGTTTTTACAGATGTGTATCAATCAGATATGATTTTTTTTACGTCTAGGGACGGACCTTTAACGTCACCATCCACAAGACGTGACTGAGTTTCGAACCTGCGTCCTCGGCTGAATCGGTTTGTAACTTCCATTGCTAACTGGATTACAGGCGCCCGTCACAACAACAGGCGCACGCGTCACTCTTAAACGGTGCGTGACTCTTCTACAAGCGCACCATGTCACTCTTACACGTGCGTCAAAGACCAAACCAGTCCCTGACGCAGTTCTACATGTACGTCAGGGAAATGACGCTTCGTGTGCAACACCCATAACTGTTTCCAAAACTATAACGGAATATCAGCGAATCGTCACCGTCGTTTTTGAATCGGTAAAGGAGACACATCATGTACTGTAGTAAGTGTTTTTGGAAGTTGTGAGATATTTGTGAATTACGGAAGAAAATTACAAAAATCATTATTACTACATTGCCATCAGGGGCCCCTTGTGTTAAAAACTGTAATTAAACGTAATTCCTTCCATATCAGATTCTGATTAGTTAAAAGTTAAGAAGAAGAGATACCCTGCTGATTAAGTCAAGAAATGCATTCTGTATTTACGTATCATGCTTCACAACATTAGAAGTACACTCTTACAAAAAAGTTCAAGTTCCTTGGATTTAATCTATTTGTTTGGATGAAATAAGCAACTGGTACTCTATTTGATTAATTCAATATTGAGTTAATAATACTCTACTATTATTTCAATAATTTGAATAAAAATAAAGTAAGAATAATAATAAGTATCAATAACAAGCACTTATTAAGTGCTCGCATTACAAAAGTTATATTAACTTGATGAAGGTGCTTTTTACTTTAAATCATTGAAGTACATGGTGGCATTCCATTTGTCCAGCTTTTGCTTCCGAGTAATTATCATAGGGATGTTTCTTTTTCCTCGTGATTTGTCCAGCTTTTTCGAAGGTTCATAAACAATGAGTTCATAATTTTTGAAACCGCGAATAGACAAGTGTGAAATGTATACAATAACAACTGGTAAAAATATACTACGCCCCCGTATTAGAAAATACAGATGGAACTTCTAAAACATATATGTACTTCGTATTTTTGTCTTCGCGTTCATGTTAAGAATACAATGAAATCTGGTGCATGACATATGACCTACGGAAAATATGTTTAAAACATGAGTTATGAGAATAGGATGAAGAGAAAGAGAGAAGCAGGAGAGAGGGGAGAGAAGCCGAGAGAAAAGGGAGAAGAGCGGGAGAGAGTGAGAGAGAGAGAAAGCGAGAGAGAGAGAGAGAGAGAGAGAGAAAGAAGGGGAGAGAGATAGGAGGCTGGAGAAGGTGACAGGAGGGAGGAGGGAAAATGCGTGCATAGTTTGCAGTCCTGTACTGTATACCTGAGCCCCGTCTTACAAAGAGTTGCGATTAATCCTTATCAATCGCAAGTCCTCCGATCAATTGCAAGTTTACAGTCTCTTATCTCTTATGTACATAGTTGCGATTGATATCAATCCCAAATAAGTTGCGATTGATATCAACTCTTTGTAAGACGGGGCCCTGATGTTCGAAATAGGTCATGCTGTATCCGGCATGCTCCACGCCACATAGACGCAGAAGGGGCTTGAGTTTGCACATTACTTTATAAACAACTATATCAATTTAAAATATATTCACAACTGATACTGCATGCCTCCCTGCAAAGGGTTTACGGTCACTGCGGGTGAGATGGTATTCTTCAGGGGATTACACCCTCGACTCATGATCTTGCCCTCGCATCGTCTGGCAGCATAAATGTTTTCTAAAACTGTTCATCTTTCATCGAGTTGTCTAACCCTATTGACTCCGCTATAATAATTCATTATTTTTTGTTGACTGGTGCCAGTAATTAGTATTAATTTGAATTATTTTAATAGGAGATAATTCATTTTTTTCTTCTTCTTTTCTCTTCTTCTTCTTTTCTTCTTCTTCTTCTTCTTCTTCTTCTCTCTCTCTCTCTCTCTCTCTCTCTCTCCAGGTTGAATATGGGTCAACCTCATGCCGACTCATCTGTTTAGACTGTTTCTCTTTTATAGTTTACGCTTTAAAAAAATCCTTGATAGGTGGATCCCAGAAGAAGAAATTTTGAAAAATTAAGACTTTTTACGAACAACTTCTTTCAGCACTTTGAATAGGGCTGTTGTAGGTATGGCCTATGCATTTTTCTGGCGGCTGACATACTTACAACGGTGTCCTGCATTATTTAGTGTCTCAGTCGATATAACCTTTAAAGTTTGGGCTCCTGGTTGTCTACAAACTTAACGTTATGAAAGCTCGCTTAACCAAGGTACCGATGCGTTCTTCTTCCTACCGTAGAATTTAATTTACGTCGAATCCCAAGTTTACATGGCCTGATATTTTTCATACGATGACAAACAGAGTTATACAGGCCGTGGTTCAAATTTCAAGCGAAGCACGGATTCCCCTTTGGAATTCCCTACTCATTCTCGACTTCGTATTGACACTAAACCCTCCTTATCCTCGCGCAAATGAAAAAGAACCCTCATCGAGACCGCCATTTTATTAACCTATCGAAGGATCGAACCTTCGATGCCTCCTGGTCTTTCAGCATCACATTCAAAACGCCCACAGGCGTTCCGTTTGTGGGTCGCAGCGAACCCAGCCGACGACATTTATAGTTAACACTTCGCATCTTGTACAAATAGAAATCGGATCGCAGGCTTTCATAAATCTTCCTTGGGCGGCATACAATCCAGTAAGTGGGGTATTCGTCTTATCAGCTGTCTTATCGACCGTATGAACTACATTTGATATCATGACATAAATGCTGATCAATCAATAATCGTTGCACACGAGGCGTCGATCGTTTGCTTGACGTAGGTCTGCGTCGGCGACTGACGCACCATGTGAGAGTCGCAAACCCCATTAATTGGTAATGAAAACATAAGGACCCCCCCCCCCCATAAAAAAGCAGCTTTTATTCAAAGCAGTAAGAATGCAAATTTGAGTGGAATGGCATTTCATCTCTTGTTTATGGAAGTGCGTTTTGTACAGAATCATCACATCCAGAGAGGGCTGCAAGGGGGGGGGGGGGTAGGGGGCACAACAAATAAAATGCCCGATGCGTCCCCGAGCCGACCAGCTAGCATATTTTGTTTCAAATCTACTGATGCATTATTCTGTTGTAAATTAAAGCAACCGGCCAAACTAAAACTCTTTTCTTCTATCGAATTCATAACAGCAATTAAAAGAAAGTATTGTCAAATGGCTCAGTTAAAGATAATATTCTAGTATGAAAGCAACTATGAACATGATGAGAAGGAAATCAAATAAAACTTGTTGCATATGGTCTCATCTAACATTTTCTACTTGTAACACAACTATGTGCTAATTATTTCTTAAGTTTCCTTCATGATTTCTCATACCTGTAATATAAAAATCTGAAAGAAATATCGATAATGTCCACTCCTAAGCTCATTACGTTGCATCTTGATCGGTTTGGGTTAAAAATTAACTTACTTTTTGTAGCACTAGCGTTATTGTTCGTTCAGACCTCGTGAAATTATGCGACCTATATGAATTGACATTTAAATTGCCTAAGGAAGCCCTCTCTAAAGTATAGTGCGTCAGATAAACAGAAATTGGTTCTCGTAAGGTTGCTTAATTCTATAGTTTATCTGCACGCTAACCAAATTCATACATGTCCTTGCATTTGTATTCTCTTGAGCTTTAGAAGCTAAAATTAGAAGCTTATGGGGAGATCAAAGATAATGCACGTCTTTGAGAGAACAACATTTCTTGGTTTCTTCTGACAGTATTTACCGGAATGGACAAGATTAATGTAAAAATAGTCATATCTATGTGTTTTTCTCTTCTCATGTTATTGCCCAGGAGATTCATGAGAAATGTGCCTATTTGTTAATTCAGAAATCGATGACAGACGATAGTTGCCATGGAAACAGTAGACGAAATGTCGAGAATGTTTCAAAGGTGATCAGAAGTTTAATATTTCTGTCCACAATAACAATGATACCTTGGGGCGTCGTAAAGTCAAAGTAGCAATATTTACTGATTTATTTAGATGGGTTTGGTATAAATCATAAATCATTATATATCAAATTCGTCTCATTCCTCCTTCTTCTCCATAACCTTTGTCATCTTATCATAAATCTTTATTAATTTTTCTCCTTCTTTTTTTGTTATCGTTATCTTCTCTCTCTCTCTCTCTCTCTTTCTCTCACACGCACATACTTACACTCTCTCTCACACACACAAACACACTCTCTTTCTTTCTCTCTCTCTCTCTCTCTCTCTCTACCTATATATATATCTCTCTCTCTCTCTTTCAATCGCCTTGACATCTCGCCGAGCTAATCTACCAGAACGATTTACGTCAGGGCATTAGTGACATAACAAGTGGACTGATGTATCACCACTTGAAACATAATGTAATAACTTGATTGTCTGCAGTTCTATGAAATCTCAGATTACTTAATCAGAACGTCCTTAAGTATAAAATTTAAATAACAATAGAACAAACAGATACATCAAAACAAAAAGGAGAGTAGGGAAAACAACAACAGAGAAACCGTAACAAGAGTATTAGCAACAGGCCAGCAGCTATACATGTAGGTTACAAAAAATGCAAATCTTAGAAATTTAAGAAAACAGTTTGAAACATAGTTGAAATCTCATTGACCATCATGAAGCAGAACATATATATATTATAATAATATATAACAATTAAATGCTATTTTCGTGATTATATATAAACCTTGTACCTATTTTTTGCACGTATACATTTACTAGTATAACAAGCAGAAACTTATTTTCACGAGCAATGAAATAGGTGAATGAAGATTTGCGAAACATAAAGTAAAAACAGAACCAAAATGAGAAAGAAAAAAAAAGGGGGGGGAGATATTTTAGAGACAATGATCATAGTAAAGAAAAATAGTATGGAAATCTTTGAATGTTAATTTAATTCATAAATTCACTATTTTTTTTCTTCTTGCTTGAAGGACACTAGTATCTAAATCGGGCAATCTCGGCCCATGAGATATGAAGGTAAGCTATCCGGACATGATATCAGATTTCGAATTGCCCTTTTCTGAGAAAGGTAACAAACAAAATAAAAGGGGAACATTATCTGGACGACATGAATATATATCTGTTTATCTACGCAACGATATCTTTTAAATTTAAAGCTAGCCCAAGTGGTTCACGTGCACAAAAAAGAATAGAATTTCATATTTCCGTTTTCTTTCTCAGTCTCTATCACAGGCAATAGAAATGGATGTGTCAAGAATAAAGTTCAGCCTTCCATAAACTATAATTGGCCTAGGCATCCATATGCCCTGTTTAGATACAGAGGGCAATCTACCTGAGGTTGTGGTTGCTGGAATATCGTATTCGGATAAGATGGAAACAAAGGAAGTAATACGAAGAATCTAGGGCTCATACTTCCTCCTCGGTATCAAACAAAATCATAATAATATGAACGGGGTTGATTCTAAAGAGAAGCAATTCGACATGAGACACAACACATAGGTACAGACTACAGTGACAGTAGCAGCTCAGATGACAAAGGACAACGTGGACAAGGTTTTATAAAGTTCCGCGAAGCTGAAATTTTATACTGCTGTAATGTATTACGCAAAAAGAACAAAGCTAAAATCCGAGGCGAGACCATTTTTATTTAAAAGATGAAATTTGGTTTCAAAGCGGGCTCCTCCTATGGAGGGAGAATCCCTTTTTCTCTTTGTAAGGGCGGGGATCGAAAAAGATTTAACAAGCTTTGCCCGTATCTTCTCCCTCTTGGCCGAATTTTGATACCCGACTTATCGGCACCACAACATCGTGGTTTTAACTATCAAGGCAGAAAAGCCTTGGGAATCGGTGGTGTGGTGTGGATAACAAGAGACATGATCATACCAGCAACTCATGAAGGGGGTCAACCGGGCACACCAAATCCCAGCTGGGAAATAGAGTGAAGACAAAGCAAGCGCGCGTGTGCAAGGCACTGATAACAGGCTAATTAAAATAATTAATTTGAAGGGATCAGAGATAGAGGGTGATGGAGTGAGGGAGGGAGGGAGGGAGAGGGAGAGAGAGATAGAGAGAGCGAGAGAAAGGGGGGGGGGGGTAAGGATGGAGGCAAAGAGGGGCAGAGCATGGACCTATCATGGGCAGAGAGACAGAAAGGGGCATAATGTGAATTACACAACAAAGAAAATGTAACAAAGGTACTCGATAGAGATAGAGAAACGTCACGAAACCAATAATGCAAATTAGCTACTGTTTGTTTCAAAGCTAATTAAACTGCGGAACATGGGATACAACTCATAATGTTCATTCACCTATGGGCTCGTTTAAATTATTAAAATGCTATTGATTAAAAACATAATTTGTATTACTCTTAATGGATACAAACCTCACTTTCAATAACACATACACGTAGGTTTAGGTGGTCATTATACTAGGTCCATAAACGTGGTTCGAGTCCTAACCGCGTTACTTTGCAATATAAAAAAATGGAAATAATAACAACATTTATAATGCGGATACATTCACCCCAAGGGATGCTCAAGGCGCCTAAACAAATTTGGAACTTATTACCCTGGCTTTAGCTGTGCTGCCATTACGGCGCTCTAGCATTTCAAGGAATTAATTCCTACCAGGTACCCATTTACATCACCTGGGTTGAGTGGGGTAAATGAAGATTAATGTCTTGTCAAAGGACATTCGTGCCGCGGCGGGACTCGAACCGCGGACCTTGCGATCGACCACGACACTTCTACATGAACACCTCAATCTCGTTTCGTGAAATCACAGCCAGAAAGCAAATCACAAGATTTCAATGTTGTCGTTCATAAGCTAGTTTATGAAGTTTTAAATTACACAGTACGTACATGTTGATGAACAAATCATTTAACAACCCGATCTTCCTATTTTGTAAAGTTAAAAACCCATCAGGGTTGACATACCTTTGGATAGCTGATTCCAGGGACGTACGGACTGCAAACCTTCAGAACATCGGACAACAGAATAATGCGGTCAAATCTTTCACAAAATGAACACCATGCAGCCGAATCTAGCAGACACAAGTATTACTAAAGAGAATCTTCTTGTGATTGGTTTGTTTACTTCTTAGGGAGATATATTTATAAGCTTAGGTTATGCAGTCACAGTTTTTAGCCTACCAATGAAGGTCAGTAACTCCCGGATGCCAGGTGCACGTAAAGCAAAACACTTCACGTTCGGCACCAGCAGATTTTCACGAAATGGAAAAACATTGGCCATATTCCATTTTTTTTTGTTCGTCCATAATATTTTAAAAGCCATTGAGGCATACTTGATCCACTTTTTAAAAGAAAGAAAGTGGATTATTATGTAATAGTCATCGTCCACGCATACGAATTATGTATATGTACGCCATTCATTTCTATCCGCTTCCTCCCTCCCTCAATCGGCCAGTCTATCTGGGTCCCTTTGTCTCTCCTCCATTACTCCCTCTTCTCACTTTGCCTGTCTCTCCCTCTCCTCCCCTCTCCATCTCTCTCTCTCTCTCATTTCCATTCTCTCTCTCTCTCTCTCCCATCTGTCTTTATCTTACCCCTTTCTTATCCTCCCGTTATCGTTATCTCTCTCCCTAACCCTTCCCTCTATTTCTCATTTTTCCCCTCTCTCTCTCTCTCTCTCTCTCTCTCTTTCTTCTCTCAGCATCAGTAACTTTGTGCTCTAATAACTATTGCTACCATAACATTCATCGACAAAGAAGTTTAAAAGACGAGAAAAGCCAGATATTACTTTTCAACTATACCAGGCCTCACCCACCCCTTTAAAGCACTGACCCGTGTATTCCATGCATGCGCGTACCTGGATGTGGTACCTGGATACGAATGAAGATGTGCCCTCACATCCTCAAAGACCAAACAAAGCAGAGATGGATTCTCCCTCTCTCTCTCTCTCTCTCTTTCTCTCTCCTTCTCTCTCCTTCCTCTCTCAACCACCCTATCCCTTCCATTCTCTCTGTCTCTCCCCATTTGTCTTTCCCTTACCCTTTTCTTATCCCCTCTCTCTATCGTTATCTCTCTCCCTCACCTCCCCTCTATTTCTCATTTTCTCTCTCTAGCTTTCTTCTCTCAAGCAACATTGTGCTCTAAGGACCATTGCTACCATAACATGCATCGACAAAGGAATTAAAAAGACAAGAAAAGTCACAAATTACTTTTCACCCTTTACCAGACCCCTTTAAAGCACTGACCTGGGTATTCCATGCATGCGCGTACCTGGATGTGGTACCTGGATATGAATGAAGATGTGCCCTCACATCCTCAAAGACCAAACAAAGCAGAGATGGATTACTAATTCTATTGACCACGTGTAGCTGAGGTGGTCCATCCCAACCGTCAACCCGTAGTACGATCCACGCTCAAACAAAGCTAGATTAAATTACTGGTCCTATTGACTGCCCTCAAACAAAGCCAGATTGGATTACTGGTCAAGCTTTGATTTTCATCAAAGATACATGTACCTGCAATCGTAGCTATTTCGTTTAATAAAGTTACGGTGTCATTTAGTAAATAATAGCTATATATTGCATAATTGAAGGCAATCATTAAGCATACACAATAAAAGGTACATAAACAAAAAATCACGAACTTACATAAAACAAAATCATTTAAGTTGAGTGAAGATTATTTTATGAAGGATGTATATCTATACAGATAATCTGGTCTAAGAGAATTTTAATAATTATAAAAGATTTCTATGCCGGGGGTTTATAACCAAATTAGGCATGGGGGGGGGGGGGCTGGGGCTACAGATTACCCACAGCTTTAACATTGCTAATATTCTCGCAACTCTTTGCTGCCCGAATACATTTTCAAATCTTGTTTGGTTATATTCATTGATGAAAAATTAAAATGTAACTATCAAAAAGAAATCACAAAATTGAAAATATTACAATCATGCCGTACCACACTATGCTTATAACAAGTTGTTTCTAAATTTTTAACGAAATAACTACTCTGCCACAGTGCACATACATGTATATTTCAGTCCTTTTCTTCCAAAGAGAAGAAAAAGAAAGAAACGATGTCTTTGTCATCTCAAGGCACATGCTATTTTACTTGACTTTTTAAAATGTCCTACTTATATATCGCGTAAGACAGCACCCACTGGAAATGAATACAGAGTGTTAAATTTTCATTTTTGCTGAACTGCAGAATGCCTAACCCTCAAATCAGTGTACTTTCCGATCGTTTAAAACAATGCAAGACATTACTATTTTCATATCATTACATTGGTATTAATACGACCTAGTCGGGCGGGGACTTACATGTATATATCCTTTTTTGTATTGATATTTTTACATATTTACCAAGTGAACCTTCAAACACGGAAGTTTATCTATGACTCTATTTGAAATCTTTGCGGAAAACCCTATACAAAACGTTCTACCTTGGTAATATTTGACAACGATATGAGGTCGAGAGTAGAGACTTACATCTCAAGTGCATATTCATGTCGGTCTTAACAGATCAACGAACTTAACTGCGAAAATGGATCTGCAACTTCAAAATATTCTCACGAAAATGTTCTAAACCACAAGCCACTTTGGTGTCATAACATTGTCAAAGATATGGGCAATTGCACGATTTTAATCCTTTGTGAATTGATATTGTATTAACCCATGCACCCTGGCCTTTCGAAGACTCTCAAATCGGCGTAATTTGATCCGCAATTTCATTTTACAGACCCGAAGATATTACGAGGACCCCGGGATTAGAACAATGTTCAATATTAATACCTTGGTATCATAACCCTGGCAACACAACGAGCCATTGTTTGGATTTAAATCCTCTGTGAATTTAAATAAATAATGATATTGGTATTTCATTAGTTCAGGGCTCTTGGCGATCTTCAAATTAACTCCATGTAGTTTACGCAGGTATTGTCGAATCAGGCACTGAATCCAGTGTGGTTTGATTTGATTTGATTTGATTGATATATTTCTGCTATATAATCATTTTTATTTGCATTTTACAAATTATTTGGCCAAAAATAATCATTACACAATGGGTATATGACGAATAATAGGATTGCAATTTAGTCATATTATACGGTTCAATATGTGACAAAATGCCCTCGGACTGCCTCCCCTAAACGATTATTAGTCAAACGATTTTTCATCTTCAGAGGACCCCCCCCCCTCCCTACCCAGGTGAAGTTTGCTCCTTGCTCCGGCGACAATCACCTCGAGCTCTATTTAGTAAAATAATGTTAGATTTAGGGTTACCATTGGGTTTTGAATTATGTTTCGGGTTAATATTAGGTCAAAAGATCGGTCGAGGGTTGATTCAAGAGTTCGGTTTTCGAGGATACTAACCGCGAAGCAAGTGTCGCTGGAACAAATGTCCTACCCCCCCCCATTACCCTTATAAAGACTGTATGCTAATTACCACCAGGACAACTACCCGGACCAACGACAACCCTGGGACGAAACAAACATGATGGCAATTATCCAAGATGATAAATAGTCCAAGTGGTTCTGGTCCAGGTGGTGAATTCTACCGTTTGGATGACGATTATCCAAAATAGGTCCGTAGGTGTATAGCAAAAAGTTTTCAATTTATAGGGAATAAATACTCTACATTGTCTATATTGTCCAAGAGGATTGGTCCTGGTTGAAATTATAATCGACGAGTAATCTTCCGGGTGAATTGCCATTTAGTCTACAACCAGTTCGTCCACTGCCCAATTAGTCTATTTATATAATTATGGTCTACACTTTGTTCTAAGGACCATTTAGGCTAATAGTCATTTGGTCTAATTTCCACATGGCATAATCACCTATTAGTTACTACCCGTTTGGCTAATTGTTCATTTACAGTCTAATAACCAGTTAGTCTAGTTCACAGGTTGTCTAATGCCCATTTTACCCAACATCCATAAGGTCTAACAATCGTTTCATGATTGTTATGACTTATGATTAAATGATTATTAGACCATATGGGTAGTGGTCTCATTGGAGATTAGACCATATGAAAATTAGACCAAATGACTATATTAGTTTAAATGGACCATAGACCAAATCATAAGTAGACGAAATTATTATTAGAACATGTGGATAGTAAACGGGCTGGGTGTAGACCATATGGGAAGAGACCAATTGGATAGTAGGTCTATATAGACGAACTTGTTGCAGACCATACGGCAATTCATTCTGTCTGGACTCTGGCTTTTCACAGTTTAAGGTATGATAGTACAGACGGCAATCGTCCCAAAATAAAAGCGGATACATCATCGAAAATATCGGAGCCAAACGACATGAACATGACTATCGTTATGTCAAACTTTGCTAATTTAATTGAGCACTCTATATCATATAAGGCACTGAAGGTGAATGCTCATCCTGTACAATTACAAAAAAAGTTTATTCAAGAATCATTAAAATGACATTACAAAAACATATTATCCAGGTATACGTATTGCGGACACAATCGACAAGCGATGCTTGATGTTGGGCCACTTCAAGTCACACTTTCTAAGGTAATGTAGATTAATTATATTCAATGATTATTACTGGCGGATGCAGGAATATTTGATCAGTAAAGGGGGAGGGGTGGGGGGGGGGGAGGGAGGGATAAAAAGCTTTCAGGCTAACAATAAAACAATACAAAAAGAACGAAACAAAATCAGCACACAAATAAAGTATATCTAAAAGAAACTTGAGACACACGAGTATATTTCATCTTGCTCAGTATTAAGGTATTGGCAAAGTTGACTATATACTCCCTGGATCCGCCACCGATAACCCATCAGTTGCGGCTCTGCCTCTCAAAGCAGGTGGAATCAATGTCTATAGACAATGCAATAAAGGGTTACCCTGATGATTGCGAATATTTCGATGAGTGTTTTAGTGAAGAATGTTTTTTCGCCCATCATAATTATATAACGGCAAACAAGCACTCATCTCCCTTCTTTCATTTCCGATCTCCCTCTGGCTGTGTGTTTATCTTTCCTGCGTGATCTGTGAAGAGTCGTAAGGGAAATAGAAGACCCATCATCCAGGAATTGATTTCATTTCTGTCGCTCTCGGGGTTGCTCAGGCTGTCGA